ACAAATATATATATATATATATATATATATATATATATATATATATATATATATATATATATTATATAAGTCAATAAAAAAAATACCATAATAATTTTTCTGGTTCCTTTTGATATATGTATTAAATAATTTTTTTTTTTTTATGGGTACTCTTATGGTCAGTCCCAGCGGTCCGAAAATACCAAAATTTCTAATTTTTGTAAATAATGAGGGGGGCAGGGTCGCTTACTATTATTTCAAAGATATTTTAAGTGTTATTTTAGTAGCTTTATATACTTAATTTTAGATTATATTTTGTTTTATTGCAAAAGATGATGGAAATGGTCAGCCCTACCCATTTAAATACATGCTGTGTATATTTTAGAGGCGGGGCAAAATTTGGCACAAAGCAGGAATTCCTTACACTAATATTGACAAGCACATTAGGTTTTTTCTTAACGACCAGAAAGGAGCGCGTGTTCAGAAAATGTTAGATCAAGATAAAATTTCACAAAAAATTGTAAAAACAAAACAAAAAGAGAAATGAAAAAAAAAAAAAATCAAAGAACACAATAGTCCATAAGAAAACAGAAAGAGTTGGTTACTGAGAACTTTGAAAACACAACTTTTAATTTTAAATACTTTTGATAATGACCAAGATGATGAAATTTTATATACTTTCGATTATGACCAAGATGAACAGTATCTACAGTGTAGATACTGTTTATCTTGGTCATTATCTTGACCTAACATTTTCTGAACACGCGCTCCTTTCTGGTCTTTAAGAAAATCTACATCTTCTTTTCTAGTTTTTAAATCTTTAGTTTTATCTTTCATAGTAATGTCTTCACAATTGTTTTAACTTATATCAAATACCACCTCTAGCATTCTTGAAAAATTTTCTTTTTTTAAAACCAAACTTGCACTTAATACGGTTCCGGTGTTAGTTCAAATCTTTTCTTTTCTAAGTCAACAATCTTGTCTCTAAAACAAAAGTAGAAGAATGCATTAAAATTAATGTAATTTATGATAAATATATATAATTTTATGATTTTATAATTGTTACTTATATAAAATAAATTTGAAATTGGATAAAACTAGAAATTTAAAATCTTTTTAATAAAATGTAAGGAATTCCTGCTTTTTTCCAAATTTTCTTCACTTCGTAAAAGACACATGGACAACATTTTTGGGGACAACCACCTATTTCAGCACATTGTGCAGTAAAAAAATTTCCTAGAGAACATAAAGCTATACTAACTAAAGAAATATTTGGAAAATCAACTCTTAGCATAAGATCTCTGTAATGGTAATATTGCAATACGGTTTTTTTAGTTGGCAATTGTGTGATAGGTATTGTTCCAATTCTTTTTCCTACAAAAAAAACTTCACGATATTTTTCCAAATCTATTGCCTGTTGACATTATTTTAATTTATACTAAAATTAAAATTTTAAAAATTGCAGATTTTTTCACTTAAACCAGACTCCCCCCCCCCTCCGCCTCCCAAATATACACAACATGTATTTAAATGGGTTGGGCTGACCATTTCCATCATCTTTTGCAATAAAACAAAATATAATCTAAAATTAAATATATAAGGCTATTAAAATAACACTTAATATATCTTTGAAATATTTGTAAGCGACCCTGCCTCCCTCATTATTTACAAAAATTAATAATTTTGGTATTTTTGGACTGCTGGGACCAACCATAGGGGTACCCATAAAAAAAAAAATTATGTCATTTTAATACATATATCAAAAGGAAACAGAAAAGTTGTTATGGTATTTTTTTATTGACTTAAAATGTGTGTGTTTAAAAAAAATAAATTTTTAACTAAAGTTTGTACTTTCGTAGATTTGTTAACTCATGTCAAGCATGTGTTTGTTACATTAATATTACAAGAATATACACATAACAAGTGTTATTTATTGCAGCATGAAAAATTTCTTTAGAGCATTGTTTTTATTGCCTCTAAGAAAAGTTTTATACTTTCTTATTGTAATAGAATGCAGGCATTTTAAGAATTAATAAAAATAATTATCAAAATGACTGCATTTTTTATTTAGTTACAATGATAGTTATAATTTTGAAAATAAAAATTATACTTTTGCGAGAGCCATAAATTCCCCCCGTAAAGCGTTTTAGGGGAGTGTGGGCAAGAGCGAGAGCTAAAGTGTGTGTATATATATATATATATATATATATATATATATATATATATATATATATCAGGCTTTCCCAGGAAAGGCGTGTGGTCGCACGCCTTGTTTGTCCACGCATAGAATAAATTTTTCTGACTAACTGACCATGTTTTATTATTATGCGTTTCATGAATTCGCACCAAAACAAAGCTAAATGAAAATACCGCAAAAATGCAAACAATCTTAAAGTAAATAACAGAAATCTGTTTGTGCTTTAAAATTAAAAAATTAATGTATATTATTAAAAAAAAAATTTACCTTTATTTTATTTATTTATTTTTTTAGGGTGGTAGTTATTTTAGCTATGAAAAATCAAATCAATAAGAAAAATCAAATCAAAAAGAAAAAGATTAATGTTTAAAGAAAATAAAAGGACCTTTTAATGTAAAATTTGTTTATGACTTTTATCAGTCAGTAATACTTTAAAATTCGCGATAGAACTATAAACAATTTTTAAATGTTTCGTAAATACATTTAAATGTTTAAATGTATTGATTTAAATGTTTGAATGTATTGATACGCAAGAAAACACAAAAATGATTGCTATTTATTTGTAAAATATGTTGTTTGTTTTTTTTAAATAAAAGAAAATTTTATTGTCAAACGATTTAGTTGCTTATTTTGCAATCATTAATTGACATTGTGAACGAGTGTTAATATATAATAATGTCCTGAAGGAACTGTTTTTGTAACAATGGCAACAGAAGCAATGCAATTATTTTTTTAACTTCTTTCGTAATTACAAAATTATGCAATTGAATAATTTCAACATAATAAAAGGCAAGCATTGACTCAGTATAATCAGTTTAGAATAAGTCGAGAAAGAACTTTTTTCACATTAAAATTTTGTTATGTTTAAAACCTGAAATAATATATTTAATAATTAAAACAGCAGTTTATTTTCTTGTCTAAGTATTGTGGAATAAAGTCATCACCTTTGCATAAACCTTCGTAAAAACTAAATTAAATGAAAAAGTTTAACCAAATTTGTCTAGCGTAAATAATGAATCAGTTTTTTAATACATTGTCTGATAAAGTTCGTGAATAAATTACGTATCAAGTCTTTTTATTTTCGTGAAAACTTTATGACTTATTGTCGTCTTTTCCTTGACTTGTATCAAATTTTGTAGCTGAAAATAGCAACCCTAAAAAAAGAAAACAAAAACAGTATAAAAGTTTTGAAAAAAATGTTCAAGACTTTTTTTTTTTTTTTGTTACAAGACTTTTTTTTTTGTTACAAGACTTTTTTTTTTTTTTTTGTTACAAGAATTTTTTTTTTTTTTTTTTGTTACAAGAATTTTTTTTTTTTTATTTTTTTTTTTTATTATCAAAATATTTTTCTTACATCCAATTTCAATTTTATACTTTGTTTAGACTTCGTTTCCTTTTTTTAATATAATTTTTTATTCTCTGTGGATAATTTCCGCTTTCCCACAAAATATTGCTGCGGTCACTTTTTCTGAAAAATTTATTCTATGCGTGGACAAACAAGGCGTGCAACCGCACGCCTTTCCTGGGAAAGCCTGATATATATATATATATATATATACTTTTGCATGGTCGTTTTTATGTTTTTAAAGTTTTAAGTAATTAAAAAAAAAAAAAAACAACCATAAAACGTCAGTTTTAGGTTGTTTTTTTTTTTTTTTAATTACTTTAAATACTGGAAAAAATTTGAAAACTTTTTTTTAAACTTTTTTTTAATTATTCGATAAACTGCCTGCTCAAATCAAATCTTCAGTTGATGTAGCAGTACTCTGTTGCAAGTCCGGCTATAAAATAGTCGATGTAGCAGCACACTCCCTTTTAGCAGCAGGCTATAAGATAGTCAATGTAGCAGCACTTCCTTGACGCAGCAGACTTTAGGATAATCGAAGTAGCAACACTTCCTTGAAGCAGTTGTAGTGTTTTTTACCATAAACTGTATATCTAAGCCCTTTATTATAAGTATATATATATATATATATATATATATATATATATATATATTTATATATATATATAAACATATATATATAAACATATATATTTATTTTATATATATATATATATATATATATATATATATATATATATATATATATATATATATATATATAAACATATATATATATATATATATAAACTATATATATATATATAAACATATATATATATATATAAACATATATATATATATATATATAAAATTAGTATTTATCAGTCAAGGCTTATCAGAAATAAATCAGTTAAGACTCATCAAGTTCATTTCTGATGAGTCATAATTGATGAAAACAGTGTAAAATGAAAAAGGTTTGTGATTGATTTTTTACTAATTTATTATTGCTCTGTTCTTTTAAGAACATTGAATGCACTATTTATTAGAATACATTAAAAATGATTTGTAAAGATAAATGTATATACAGTTCCTCAGAATTAGGAAAAAAAAGGACAGCAAAAAATTGCCAACCTCAAACCGTTTCAGGTCAGCACGAATTTTAGAAACAGGCTTCAACAAATTAGCAAATGTGCGAATGTTTAGCATAAAGTCTACAGAAGAACTGAGTATCTATTTATATAAACTGAGTTTGTCAACATTTCTTTTGATTGTTTGCTTTGCCGTCTTTATTTTAATTATATTTTTCAGAATTTATATAAAGTGCTGGTTATGCTATTTTCAATTTTCTTTAATAGCAAATGAAATTAAGTTTTAAAATTGCGCATTCACAAAAACCTCAGAAACTGTCAGATTTTCGAATGACAATATTAATTCCCAGTAATTAAGTTATTAAAATAATTTGTTTATCAATTATTTTTATTTGAATTGTTGTTTTATTGTTGTAATTTTTTATTTTTTTAGAAAATAACATTTATATTGTGTTATACTAATAGAAAATACTTTGTTTTGTTGTTCTATCAAAGGAATGTCAACTTGGGGTGTAGACCTCTGGGTGAGTTTCTAATTTAAATGGTAGCTAAGTTGAATAATAAATTTTTTAATTTTAAATTATGGTGGACATATAGTACTATATAGTTATAAAATAAGTGTAAGACAAATATTTATTTAAAAATATAAAAGTTTATGTTTATATCTTTCTGGCATATGATAGGATGGTCTGACAGGCCTTGTTTAAAAGTGTTTTACTACAGTATTTTAGATACAAAACTGTTGTTTTTATGTAATGCCATTTTTATTACACTAAACTGTTAAACATTGAAATATTTAAAGTATTTTTATATGCTTTATATAAAATTTGTTTAGAAAGTGCTATGCCTTTATTATTTTAAAAAACGTAACGGTAGTCCCTACTAAATAGGGCTGCATAAACATTTATACATTGTAAAATATAAACATTTATACATCATAAAGTATACTTTTTTTATTCAAAATTCATATTATATTTTTATATATATGCATATATAAACATATTTATGATCAACATGATCATCATCATCATCATTATCATTATCCTCATCATTATCATCATTATCGTTTTCTCTTTCAACAAGTACTACACCATATAAATACTAAAGTATATAAATTCGAAAGAATATTGCATGCCAGCATCTAAATAAATAGCAAACATATATGTTTATGTCTATAATATGTATGCATAAAGCATATCTCAAAAGTTTTTATTTTTTCTGGACTAAAAGTTTGGAAGTTTTTATTTCTACTCTTCAATTTTAAGTCAAACCTCATTTTACTCCATATTTTTCACCATTTTGAGAAGTTGCTTTATTAATAATTTATTCCATCTTTTTTACAAGAACAAATGTTCTTTTATTATTCCAAGAAGCGAATGTAAAAAGGTCCCGTCTGATGTTAAACTCTGTTATTCTTAGTTTACTAAATCTTGTATCTTATATTAGGTGTTAGGTTCTAGAGTCTTTTGGTTAGTCTTCAACAACGTCATTAACTAAAGTAAGGCTAACATTTAATTTTTGTAATTATAATAATTAATAATATTTGGTTTTTAAAAAGTGCTTTAATAAGTGATTTTTCAAAACTCTAGAAAACACTTTGACCTCTCCAACTTTCCTACGATTAATCTTCACTCTGTTATTAGTTTCTTTATATAAAAGGTTTTGAGGTTATTAAATTATTTCTTACTAACTGCAGTAATAAAGTAATTCTTGAAGGCCTACGCTCTTCTTTATTTCAAGTAACTTTAAGGGTACTACAATGTATCTTGTGGTACCCTTAAATCTTTGCTCCTGTATTGTTTCTTATCTACAATATCAATCTTCATGAAAATTTAATATCTAAAGTGGCTCCATTTGTTGGCAACTCAACTTTATACTCTTGTTTTGACAAAAATCTTCACTTTGATTTGTGAAAACAAGCAGCTTATTTTTAATCTGATGTCTCTTCTGTAACAGCCTAAGGCTTGCTATGGCTCCCGGATTTCAATTCTGAACCTAAAATCTGTAATTTTTGTTAGACTACAAAACTTGTTTATTAACTGTAAAAAAATATTGCAACATTGTTGGTATTCCTATATTGATGAATAACCACCTTCTTACTCTTAGGGAAATCACATTGTAAATGTAATGCAGTCGAGGTGTAGAGCGCTTGCACCATAAATGAGAGGTACAGAGTTTGATCTCCACTACATCTCTGGTAGTACCACGTTCAACTTGTTTTTCTCCACAACGACCTTGGTTGTCAAGGTTTATGTCTTGGAGTTATATAGTTGAGAGAGGGTTATAACCACAATTAAGTAGTCTCCTTGTCTGTAGTGGCATTTTCAGCCTTGGGGAGGTGAATTAACATAAAAAATAGTAATAATAAATTAGACCTGCCTTATCTGCCAAAAAAAACTTTATAGCCATTAGCCATCTTCATGTTTTTCTTTTATGTACAACCTAGAACTTTTCAAGTCTTCAGTTAATTTCCTAGTATTTTTATTTATTATCTATTTTAAAGTAACTCATAACTTAATAGTCGCTGCGCGCAATATTCTTAGAAGTAAATTAGTGTTAGAAAATATATAAATATATGCCAGTATTTAATAAATAGTAAATGTAAGCATAAAATTATTATATATAAAGTATTATAAATTTTTTTCTAGCCCTTGCTATCAACCCCTACTAAATCTTATAATTTAGCCGGGGCCAGGTTGGAAAATAGTCTCATTTTCAACCGGGGTCGGGGCCCCAGTCACTTATTACTACCAATGCAATCATACCTTTCATTTTTAAATTGGATTAAATAACTTTGAAACTTCCATTTTTTTTCTAAATTCTTTGAAATGAAACATTTTCAAACTAAAATAAATATGTTAATTATATTACACACCCACGCTGAATCAGATTTTAGTTTGATGAAATGACATAGGGTTGTGTCATACCTTTTTGAAATTGTTAGAACCATACCATTCAGGGAAAGTTAGTGAAAAAAATCATAAAACTAATCTTTAAAAAATAGTTGGGTTTACGCAGGGGTAAAATAGGGTCCCGGACTTAGGCGCCCCTTTAACTTATATCAAGATCCACCACAGGGGTGCATGCAATTATTGTACATTTTGTCAGAAAATATGACTAGTCGATATATGTCCCCCTCAGATCGGTCTTAAAAACAGTCTGAGGGGTGCCAATGCAAGGTACTTTTTTCTTCTTAAAATTAAAAGGGAAAAAAAAAATATTATTTTTAGAAAATATTTATTAAACATTATTTAAATGTTTTCCATTGAAACTAACTACTGCTTTTTTCAAATACTTTGCATACTTTTGATGGTTATCAGACACTTTGAAACGTTCCCATGCTTCCTTTAGAAATGAGTAGTGAAGACCTTTGCCTGCTTGTTCACTAAAGAAACCCAATTCAATGTCCTTATCTTTACAAAAAGGACCTACATGTTGAAATATGATATGTAACTTCACAGTAAATGTCATTTCATAATCTTCCACTAAGGTTGAATAATGATTCTTAAATAACCTGATGTCCTTTTCAAATGTTGGCTATAAATTTACACCAAAACAAGAGTGAACATGGTTATCCAGAAGCCTGAACGCTTCAGCCAATGGTTTTAATAGGACTGGAAACAAGTTATAGTAATTCACTCAATTTTTTAATATTTTTTGACAACTATTACCATTATATGACCCATTTCTTATTGATTTAGAAATATTTAAGTCATTTTCGATCTTTTTTAATAGTACTGGATCAGCTAATTTGTTTATTGTTTTAAAGATATGGTTTGTTGCCCCTTTCATCAAATGAAGTTCTGGAGGAGAAAGATGATTAATAATTAGATCATTATCATCACCAATTAAAAGAATTTCATCAATACAGTTAAAATATTCTTTTGCTCTAATTTTCTTTGATCCGCTCAATTTATACAATTTACGGCTAAATTTTATTGACCCATGTGTTCGTAGCTCAGTGCAATCATTTTTAAAAACCTCTGTTTTGTTACATGTACAAATATAACACGGATAAGTTGCCATGGAACTTGGAGACATACCACACTTGACTTGACAGAGTTTGATATCTGCCACATAAGTAAAGTTTATTTTATCCAAACAGAGTTTGTTAAGCAGAATTTTAACATTATGGTTTGTCTCTGGTGCATCTGGTACCAGTGCTATAATAAATGATGCTTTCACAGATCCTTCCTTGAAATTTGGTGATTTAATTTCTCCATATTTTCTCCTTTTATTTTTAATTGTTTCACTAGGATTTGATACAATATTTAAGCAAACCTGAATATTTTATAATAAATTACACTTATTATTTTTAATTAGAAAAAAAAGTGGCACATTATAAAATCAAATTACCTTAAGAAATCCCTGACCTCCGTAAATGGAAACTTGTATATACTGGTTTTGAGGATAGGCTCCTTTTTTTATCTATTATTTGCCACAGAAACTCATTGACATCTGTTGTTCTGATAAATGGAGTTTAAACAAACTTTTTTCCTCTACAGATTTAATATTAAAAAGTTCAAAATCCTCAACAAAGCAATCATCAAGTTGCTGGTCAATACGTTTGAGCTCTGCTGCTAACCCTGATTGTACAATTTTTCTGTTTTGTGCTTTGAATCGTTATTCTTTTGCTAGCTTTAAAATTTTTGTGTTACATAATTCTAAAGTTGATTGTATGTCAATCATACTGTTTATAGACAGTTGTTGTATATTACTAGTATCATGGTTTCTCTTAATTGTAAAACTTACTTTTTTACCACCAGTAGCAAGTATCGCTTTACCCTTTTTGTCTATTTTGTCTTTTATTAAAAAATTAGCTATTTGCTCAATTGTCTTGACATTATTTGCAAGCTTTTGTATTATATTACATTTAAGTTCAGCTAAAGAACTTTTGTGGGTAATTTCTTTGCTAATAATTGAAAAGCAAGTTTGACAAGTTAGACTATTAAATGGAGGTTGCGCGTTACATATACGTCCCCTTTTGAATTTTTTAGGTCTTCCTTGAGTAAATCCAATTATACATATTTAGCATTTACATACAAAAACACTTCTAGTTTGAAATGGTATTTTCATTTTATTCCACTTTACGTGTAAAGCTCTTTTCCTCTTCTTATACTGCTTTTGCAAGATTCTCAAATAGCTTTAGGATAGAATGAATTTTTAATGTTGTATTTAAAATTCACTAAATTTTTAATCCACGGTACATTGATATCGTTAGGTTTATTTGTTTTTTTGGCACAATATAAATACACTTTTCTCCTGTTTTCCCCATGAGTACAGGTTGATTTAAATGAACTCATTCTATCTGGAAAAATAAAACAATTTAAGAACGCAGAGAAAACACACTTTTTATTATACCTAAAATATAAAGATTTATATACCATATAATAATTCTTTAAAAAATGTTTCAAACACACTATACAAATATAACATAATATAATACAAATATAAATGCTGACTATTATAGTATATGGGTTCCTTATTAAATACCATTTAACATTACTTACAAGCGTTGTTTATTATACTTCAATTTTTAAAGTTAAAACAAAATGAAAATATGCAGAATTAAGAAGCTTGATTACATATGTGGTAATGATGAGTTGCGGTCTGTTTTGTAAAGTTCAGTATAAAACTATTGTTCAGTATAAACCTACAGGGGTGGGACCGCAAAATGTGAACGTTTTTGTTTTATTATAACTATTTTCTCGTTAGATGTAGTTGTACTCTCTCACTCATCAGAAAGTGTCTAAAGAGTTGTTAAATATGAACTATTTTAAATAAGAATGTCCAACCATTGGACATTCTTATTTAAAATAGTTCATATTTAACAGAAAATTAATTATTACAATCAGAAAAGTGTTCACATTTTGCGGTCCCACCCCTGTACTGTACAATATTTGTATTCTTTTTTATTTTATTTTTTCAATGAAAACATATTTGACTAGATTGACAAAGTGACTTTTAACATTTTGTTTTAAGTAAAATATATTATTCGTTCTTTATAAACTTATTTATAAAGTTTAATAATGATTATATACACACGGGTCAAAATAGGTGATGAACTTTGGTGTCCCTCGGGATGTTTTTTAGACCATCTAGAAGGGGCAACTAATAACTAGTTATATTATTTAACAAAATATAAAACAGTTGCTTTTCCCCCTCGAGTTAGTCTCATAATCAACCAGAGGGGGGCCAAAGTTCGGGAACCGTTTTGACCCCAGTATAAACCCAAATATTTTTTAAAGATTAGTTTTATGATTTTTTTTACTAACTTTCCCTTAAAGGTATGGTTCTAACAATTTCAAAAAGGTATGACACAACCCTATGTCATTTCATCAAACTAAAATCTGGTTCAGCGTGGGTGTGATTATATATACATATATCAATTTTATGCTTTTATTCTTTCTGGTTTATTTTTTATTAATTTTATCATTCATTTAGATTTTTGATTTTTAAAGTTTAGTTTTGTATATAAATTTTTTTTTCAGTTTTTATTTCTCTTTCCATTATACATCTTTCTTAATTATATTATGGATTAGAAAAAAAATATTAATTTCAAAAAATAAGTATTTGTGTTGAGTTTTTTGTCAGAAAAAATGTAGACAGGCTTTTTTATAGATGAAAGTGGCGCCTTATGAAACAATAATGAGTAAATTTATTTCATTTTTTTCCAATGAATTTTTCCAAAAATTTGGCTATGTATCTAAACCATAATAAATATGTTTTTAAAAAATATATCGATGTATGTAAATTTTTTCTCTATGAAAATCAATTTATTAAATTTTATTAAAAATAATGTTTATTTTATTTCAAAGTATAACTATTTTTGTGTTGTTATTTTTTAAAAGGCCAAACAACATTTGGAGCAATTATTACAACTAGTTCTAGGTGTTTTGCAGTATTTTTATAAATTTTGACACAAAAATCATATATTTGAATCATGCATCCAAGTATACCAAAAAGACCAGACAAGATTTTGAGCAATTATTACAACTAGCTCTACATGTTTTGCAGTATTTTTATAAACTTTTTACACCAAAATCATCTATTTAAATCAGGCATCCAAATATTTTATTATCTACACTTTTTGCGAATTCATCAACTTAAAGGGATCCCAAACCTCCAAGACATGTTGTGTTCATATTAAAGAGAATAATAAAAAAAATGTTTAGAATAAATTTTTTTTGATTAAAACAAAAGAATAAATGAATACCAAGAAAAACTAACTTTTTAAATTAGTCGAAGCTTGACTTCTCCGGACTTAAAATCCTAACAAAAATTCTGGACTTAAAATCCATAATTTTTGTTAGGCAATAAAACACATTTATTTATTGCAAAAAAAATATTGCAATATTGTTGGCATTCCTATATTGACAAATAACAACCCTCCTATTCTCAGACAAAGTCGTAAAGCACATTCTAAAAGTTATTAGACCTGTTTTATCTGCTTTGAGCCTTTTTGTTTGAGTTTGAGCCAGCGCTCGAAATAATTGTTTGAAGGTTGCCGATCAACATTGATTGGCTGAAATTTAAAAAATTAAAAACCAGACAATCAAATAATTTTTTAGACGATCAATTTTTTATTAAATTTTACTAAAATTTACAATGCATTTTTTTGATCCTACCTCTCATGATTTTTGTTTGGCCATTATCTTTTTATAACTTTTAATTAATTATAATTTTAATTATTTTCTTTAGAATTTAATTAAATCATTTGTTTTGCTGTTTTGAATTAATTAATTTTATTTAGAATTTAAGTATACCGTTAGTTTTGCCGTTTTTCTTTTTGTATTATTTTGAGAATATATGAAACATTGCTGTTTTACTTTAATTATTTTATTTAGAGTTTATATATATTGTCTGTTTTGCCTTATTTCTTTTTAATTGTTTTAATTTGAGTATAAATAATACATTACCATTTTTGTTTTAATTATTTTTTTAAAAATTTAAATTAACATAAGTTTTGCCATATTTATTTTAGTTATTTTATTCAGAATTTAAGCAAATGTTCGTTTAAATTTTATCTAGAATTAAAAAAAAACAATCTTTTGCTGTTTTTATTTTAGTTATTTTATTTAGAATTTAAATAAATCTAATGTTGTTTTTATTTTAATTATTTTATTAAGAATTTAAATAAATCGTTGTTTTTAATTGTTTTATTTTAATTATTTTATTTTGAATCAAAATAAAATTTTGCTGTTTTTTTTATATATATATATATATATATATATATATATATTTTATTTAGAATATAAAATTTTGTTTGTAAAATGGTTTGTTTTGCCGTTTTAGAATTATAATAAAACTTTGCCGTTTTTTTTTTAATTATTTTGTTCAGAATTTAAATAAGTTGTTTATTTGCCATTTTTACCTACATTATTTTATTTAGAATATAATTCATTTCAAATAATTTTGATGTTAATTAAATTTTAACTTTCTGTATTTAAAATGTTTTTGTATTAATTATTACAAAAGTTTGACTAGCAACTTCTGCCGATCAAATTTGATCGGCCAGATTTAATTTTAGGCAATCAAAATGTCCATTTTTCCAAAAGTAGGCGATCTTTGATTGTTGATCAGCCGCTATTTCGAGCACTGGTTTGAGCCACTCTCACATTGTTGTAAGGTCGCATTTCTTTCTTTCTTCTACAAGTATTATCATGGACAATGCTCAAATAAGCTATCATCGCTATTACGATAAACAAAAACTCATTCTTACTTGGTTTCTTATTCAACAAGTTGCATTCTTTTACTTTATCTGTCCCTTCATGCTATAAAAACTTTTATAAATCCAGTTTTTTTCCTTGCACACCAAAAAAACTTTGCAACTCTTATCCATCTTCATGTTTTCCTTTTATTATACATCCTACAATTTTTTAAGTATTCAGTTAACTGTTTCCTAGTATTTTAACCTATCCTCCATTTTAAAGTAACTCATAACTCAATGGTGATTGCTTGCAATCTTGTTGGAAGTAAATTACAGTTTAAAAATATATATATTATAGTTATAAATTATAAGTTAAAATTTTTCTCAAAAAGTTTATTCAAAAGTTTATTTTTAATCAATGATGTTAATTTTTTCCTTTTTTTTTTAATTTTCTAAAATAAATTAATATAAATTAGTAATTAATCTGAAATCATAGGATAACAGAGACAATATCGAGAAGCACACTCTAAATGGTATTGAGTTTTTGGATAAATGCTCTGGTTTTATAAAGGATAGAATTCGAATTGAGCAAGAATATGCCAAAAATCTCAGGTAATTTTTTATTTTTTATTTTTATTAATGATTAATACATATTGATTGACGTATAGAGTTTAGTCATTAAATTGTTTTCATTTCAAACAGTAAAAAATAGGTTTAAAATTGTTATAATTTTTTAAAATTCAATTAAACTTACCCAGCCCTTGTTTTAAAGCGTTATGGGTAGAGTGATTTACCTACACTTTAAGTAATTTTATGTAAGCAGTAAGTGATTTCTGTTAAACGACTTTTTATCATTTTTTAACTTTTAAATTACTCAATAAGCAATAAGATCAAAGAAGTAATTAATTAAAAAAGAAATCACATTAGCATTTGAATGACGTTTATGTAAAAATATTTGTTACAAAAGTTTGAATAACAATTAAAACATTAATTATGATTAAAAAATTAATTATGATTAAAAAATTATGATTTAATTTAAAACTAATTTAAAAATATATATATAATTTTATTTTGATTAAAAAAATTTATAATTTAATTTGGATTTAAAAACTTTATAGTTTAATTTTGATTTAAATTATTTAAGTTAATTAAAGTTAAAGCTAATACTTGGGTTTAACTTAACTGTCAAATCTATTTTAAAATGTTACTAAATATTGTTCAATATTTGAATTTTATTTGTTCTCAAAAAGAAAAGAAATAAACTTATTTTTATCGCAATTATTTTTCAGGTTTTCCTTCCTAAACATTTTTTTTTTTTTTTACTCAAAATTAAGTTTTAAATAAATGGCTGCATCAAAAATTTATTTATAATGCAAGTTAAATTGCAGTGATTATTTTTTAATAAATTATATATGCAGCAAAATAATTTTAATAATAAACTAATTAACTTTTAGCAAATTAAGTATATAAATTAAAGTAATTTTTTTATTTATTACTCGCTAATTTTTTTTAAATAAAAAATCATTTGTAGTTGCAAAGCCGCAATTAAAAATTTAAGAAATAATCATTTTAAAAATTCAAAAATTTAATATATTTTAATTTATTTATGCAAATGTTGAGAAAATAAAGAAATTTGTTAATGTCAAGCATTTTTTAAAATGCAATATTAAATTTAATTATTTAATATTAAAAAAAAAAAGATAATAAACATTCTTTTTAGTAATAATAAAAATGCTGTTAAATAACATTTAACTCATTTGGCCGTAATTAATATTGTTGCAGTAATTTAAAAAAGTTAATGTCTTTAAACAATAAAAAAATAAAAAGAATTTATGATGTAATATCGCATTAAGCTAATGTATTATTCATTTTTAATTTCAAAGCAAGGCCTGCCTACCAATAGTTGTTTATTAAAAATATATCCCCCAAATATTAGCTCAACATTTCCTTAGAAAAAAAGTGTTTATTTTACAGGAAGATTAGCATTTTGAATTTGTTTGAAATAAACAATTTTACATAATACTTTGTCTGAATAATTAAGTTGTTTAATTCCTTAGTTAGCGTTTGGAATTCCAATATGGTACATTTTTTAATTTTTTGAAATTTTTTTAGACTTAGTAAGAAATTATGAAAATATATTAGGCTTCATGGTAAATGAAAATAAAATATTTTAATGGAAATAAAAACACAAAACAAAGCAGAAACCCAATAATCTTCATTTAATTACAATTTTGTCAAAAGTCTCTAGTTGAACTAAAAGGTTTTAGATAGCGCGAACTTTTTTTTATAAAGGAGAAAACCCCATCTAATTGTGTAGTTGTGTAAATAAAAACTGTTTTTGTTTAAAAAACTCTGTAGTGATTGCATTTAAATCTCTTTAAAAAATTCATCTATAAATAAGTGTCCCTCGTTAAATAAAAAATAACCATAAAACCAATGTTTTAAAGAAAAAAAAATTCAAGACTTATCAAAATTCTTTCTTATAAAAAACAAACATGTAAATACTTAATATTAAGAAAACAATCGTTTTTTGAAACACTATAAAAACTGCTGATGTTAATTAGCAATTTATAATAATGTTATTAACTCTAGTGTGCAACTGGTAATTAGTAATTAATAATAATGTTATTAACTCTAGTGTGCAGCTGTTTAAACGGAATACTTAAAACTAAAAAGACAATCATTTTATGAAACTCTACTATAAAAATTACTCGTACATAAAACAAGATTTCCACTAAATATATGTGTATTTTTTAAGAAACGTATTATCGAAAAAAAAAGTGCATTCGTGCAATTAAATTTATTATAATTCTGTTATTTATAGCAGTTTGCAGCAAAAATTTATAAGAAAATAAATACAAAGATTTAAAGAAAAGAAAACCAAACGAATTATGTAACAGGATACAACATCAACTATATAATTTATATTAAAAAAACAATAAGATATATAAGTCAATGTCGACATTTCAAAATTGAGATGTTAATATTATCAGCATTAACAACATCAAAAGGCAACTGATTCCAAATGTTAACAATTTGGTAAGGAAAATTATATTTATGAATATCTAGTTGACAACATTGTTTGCACATTTTATATTTATGTCCTTGCATGTTGTTTTTGTTGTCAATAAAAAAGAACATAGATTTATCAATTAAATCAAGTTATGCAGAATTTTGAAACATAGGTATATCATGTTTTAATCACCTTATCTCAAGCAACTCCAAATCAAGAAATTGAAGTCAACTATAGAATGTTAAATTATTCAAGTGCAAGGTTTTTTTGTGGTATTTTTGCATGTTCTAAACTCCTTTATTAGTTTAACATGATATGACGATCAAACAAGAGAGCAATATTCTAATATAAGCCTAATATATTTAGTGAAGGCTCTTACTAATATACTAGGATCGCGAGAATTAAAGCATTTTAAAATAACTTATGCTCTAGTATTAGCTGCATGGATAATGTTTGAAATATATTTTTATAGTTAAGGTGAAAATCCTGAGTTACACCGAGATCTTTAGCATTAGAAGACCAAGCCAAAGATCTCCTTAGTTATAGTTAAAGTTAAGACATTTTCTCAAAGATACAGGTACAATTCTATGAATAAAACACTTGTTGTAAGAAATTGGTAGTTGTTATGTTTCTGACCAAATTACAATGTTATCCAGAGCATTAACTAAGTGGTGGCTTTGAACCCTGTTGCAAAATAAACTATATAACTTGATGTCATTGACTTTAATGAGCTTTATGTTGATGACATGCTGTTATTTATTATATTATTATTTGTTATTATATTATTAAAATGGTGTAATAAATATTTTTATTAAAATAACAATAAAATAAGAAGTTCAATTTTTACCAACAGTAAAAAAGAACTTTTACTAACAGTAAAATGAAAGTAATCTAAATAAGCGAAGCAAAGAAATTAATAGACAGAGTTTACATTATATTTAATATTCGTCAACAAAGCAAATTAAAGTAGCATATTGTAAACAATAAAGCTATTTTGAAAGCATTATCAAAACTTAAATGATTTTATGAAATTTTAGTATATACATTTTCTAATTACATCCCAAACCTTCCTGGGAAGCGTGTGCGATTGCATGCCTTGTTCATCCATGATAAAAGTTATTTTTTTTAGACAACTTGCCACGTTTTTATATTGTATTTTTATTTGAAGCAAAGTAAAGCCATAAGAAGCTAGAATTAAATAACATTACTTGAAAAAAGAAAAGAAGACTATACGAAATAGAAATTCTAAATAAAATAAGCTAAAAATTTGAATATTAAAAAAAGAAAAATGTTGAATAGAATAATATATCTAAACACTTTACTATTTTTTTTTTTTTTTCTTATTTTTAGGGCGTTTGTTTTTTTCCACTATCAAAATTGATACAAGTTAATGAAAAATGCAGATAAGAATATAATGAAAATAAAAAAATTTTTAATATAGAACTTTTTTCAGTCAATATAATAAGGAAATACTTTATAATTTGCGCTAGAAACATTGACAAATTTTAAATTAGTTAGTTTCCTGATGAATTATTGTTATTGATGACACTCCAAAAGCTTGTGGGCTAGCGCATTGTTAATTTACAGAACTTTTTTAACCAAAAGGGTTTTTAGGAGCCTATTTAAAACTTTTTTTAAGTTTTTAAATACATTTTTATAAACAGAGCAATTGTTATGTTCATTGTCTCTTGTAATTCATATCAACATTGGAAATTGGGCAAAAGAAACAATTTCAGACATGTATTAAATAAGGTAAATACATTTACTAAAAAAACCATGCTATTCTTTTATTTAAATTATTCAGTCATTACAAAATTTATTAATCAAATAATATATTTTACAAAAAAATAATAATTTATTTTCTTTTTTTCCTATTATATAATTATTGGGTAAAATCGTCAAATATAGCGAAAACATTTTTAAACATAAAAAGACAACAAAACGAATTAACATAAGAAAAAAAAATTAACAAAGTTTCTCACTGTTCTAGCATACATAGCAAATTAGTTTCTTTATTATAAGGACTGATAAACATCTTGAATATCAAAACTTTCAATTGTTGTTAAATTGTTATAAAAGATAAAAAGTTTTTTCATCAACTTGTATAAAGTTCAGTAGCTAAAAACAACAACGATTCTAAAAAAACAACAACATCGATTCTAAAAAAAACAACAACGATTCTAAAAAAAAGAATACAAAAGTTGTATTTAAATTAAAAAAATATTTATTCTTAAATTTTCTAGTTTATTTAATTTGATATTTCGTTACCACTTTGTTTCTTTTTTTTTAAGATTGTTTTTTTTTTCTTAGTAGATAAATTTAGCTTTTTGCCACGAATTGTTGAAACACTTTATAAGTTAAAAGATGCTAACTGCCATAGTCAGTTTGTCTAAAAAAATTACTTTAAACATGGAAAAAAAAAGTGCAGTTTGTCTAAAAAAATTACTTTAAACATGGACAAACAAGGCATGTGATTGCAGGTGCTTCCCAAAAAGACTTGCATCCTGATTTTTGTCAAACTTTGTTTTTTAAAACTCCATTTTATTCCAACTGATCAAGCATGACCAGCAAGAGTTTATTTTTGGAAGTCAAAATAGCAATTATCGATTATTGGTGCTTAATCCATTCAATTTTTTTCCCTTATGTCACTGTTTTTATATCTATTGATGATTTCTTGACTAAACATTATCCTTATATGTTTTACAAACAGTTAATTAGGCCTTTGAATTTTTAAGTTTCTTTTTTTTTATGTTTTTAGGAGACTTGTAAAGCAATATCAGTTTCGTAAAAAAGAAGAGCTTCCGTGAGTATATATTTTCAATTGTTTGAAAATGAAACGATTTGCAAAATGAAATGTTTAAAATTAATTTTATAAACTGATAAATAATAAATCCCTTTCTAAAATCGTAAGAGACATAGAATAATATTTATTTTTTTGAGATATGTTTACCAAATTTTTACCTGGTAATTTACTTATTTTTTATATTACCAGAATTTACCTGTTTAAAGTTAAAGGGCATTTTTGAGCCCAAGGGAGTTAAATTTACTTGTTAAATAAGTTATTAAACTTGTTACTAACTGAAACTCCTGTCAAGTTTTATGAGTGTAATTTTTTAAAGTGTATGTACAATAAGTTGTGATAGATTGTCCAGCTTTGAGGTCTAGTTTTCTTGTCAAACTAATCACAGCATAAACTTTATTTTTTACTAATGAGGTGACATACCTGAAGATTTAATCCATATAGTTTTGCTTAAAATTTTGAGTAAGTAAATTACAAACAACAGGCTTCTTTAATGTACAGCTATAAATTAAAGAATTATTTTAATTTGATTTTTATTATGATAACAGCAATCTGTCAGTTGTTAAAAGTTCAATCATTATTTTATTCTATTTAATACTTTATATTGATTTTTTAACCTTATCGGTCAATAATGTTTACATTAGACTATTGGCTGAATAGCATTGTTAGAAAACTTGATAATAAATGATAATAATCTGGAAGTCAAAATAGATAATTTTGTGAAGTCAGCCAATTAATGATTGTCTGTTGCTCTGTGTGCTGTATAATATAAATACATTTAATGGTCTTATTATATTATTATTTATACGTTTAATGATCTTAAATATTCCCACTTAATATAAAAGGATTTAGAAAAAAACATCAAAATATTTTACACTAGTTAAATGTTTAGGGTAAAAGTTTTATTATTTTAAAAACTTTAATTACAATCTATTAAAGGCTTATAAACAGACTGACATGAAAACAACAGTTTCCTGATAAGAAAATCTACTCTTTACAGTTTAACCAATACATTTTCTAACATCATCTGTTAGATTGCTATCTGTAATTTTTTATATATATTTTTTTTTTTTTTTTTACTTTTTTAAACAAGAATAAAATTCATTATTTTAAAAAAATTTGAAATAAAGTTGGAAATAAAATTTTAAAAGTTATGTATAATTTATAAAAGATTTTGTCAAAATTTATTTTGTATTAATATTCACTTGCATATCACTAGCATAACTAGTGTTGCATAATATGCCATTCCATATAAGCCTAGAGATCGTTTCTCTTCTTAGTAGTTTTTTTGTGTTAATTGTAAAAAAATTAACATGGAAACTTTAACTCTTGTGCAAATGCATATTAACAGCAACTACAATTCAGAATAAACTTTATTCTGATTAAAAAAAAAATGATTTAATTTATATTTAAAAAATATATAATTTAATTTATATTTAAAAAATATGTAATTTAATTTTGATTTATAAAATATATTTATATTAAATAATAAAAATATATTATATAAAATAAAAGTTTATTAAAACTAAAGTTAATGCTTATGTTTAACTTAATTGTCAAATTTATTTTAAAATATTACTAAATATTGTTCAATATTCAAGTTTTATTTATTCTTAAAAAAAAATTAGCTCATTTTTATCGCAATTGTTTTTTTGATTTTCCTTCCTAAACATTTTTTATACAAAATTATATTTTAAATAAACAGCTGCATTAAATAAACAAGTTAAATTGCAGCGATTATTTTTTAATAAATGGTATACAATACAGCAAAATAATTTTAATAAATGATGTTTGGAAAAATAGTCTTTCGCAACAAGTGTTAATAAAATAATAAACTTTTAATAAATAAAGTAAATAAATTAACATTACTCGCAAATTTTTTTAAAGTAAAAAATCATTTGCAGAGCCACAATTCAAAATAATCAATTTCTAATTGATTCTAATTTAAATATTTTCCAGTTTATTATGCAATTAATTTTTATATAAATGACTTAGTGTTTTTCATTTCTGTTACATTGATAGTTATACTTTAGGGTGAAAAAATTATACTTTAGCGAGAGCCGTCAATTGCTCCGGTAAACTATTTTAGGGGAGTGTGGGCAAGAGTGAGAGCTAAAGCTCTCGCTTCACACCGAGGTCTGATATATAGTTAGTGTTTTAAAAATTTGTGGCAAAATAAAGCTATATGAAACTACCGAGAATAAAACAGCAATGCACAAATAAAGGAAAAGAATACTACACAAAATAGAAAATCTAAATAAAATTAAATTAAAAAAATTGAAAAAAATATATATATATATTTTGTCAAAAAAAATATACCTGAGTATTATACTGTTTTAGTTTTTTTTGTTTTAGGGTGTTTGTTATTTTCCACTACCAAAATTAATACAAGTCAATGAAAAAAGCAGAAAGAATATAAAAAAACAAAAAACATCTTTTTTGAATTTACTTGCGACTTTTGTCAGTCTCAGTTATTAAGGAAATACTTTATTACTTGCGATAGAAATAGTTTGTTTTTCAAATGTTTTTACTAAATTTACAAACTACTGTTTTTATTAATGCACAGGAGAAATGCACGAGAAAATTAGTTGGTATTTATTTGTCAAAATTTTTTTTTTTAAGCAAGTTTTTTCATGTAAAATAATAAAATTTTATTGAAATTTTTTTAACAAAATTTTTTGGAGCCTATTTAAAACTTTTTTTTTTAAAGTTTTTAAAAACGTTTTTTCATATAGAGCAATCGTTATGTTCATTATCTCTAGTAATTCACATTAATGTTGGCAATACAAAATTTATCAGATTGTTGGAAATACAGAAAAACTCAGATTAGAATTAGAAGTAAAGATACCTTGTAGCAGCAGGATATAAGATTTTATATATATATATATATATATATCAGGCTTTCCCAGGAAAGGCGTGCGGTCGCACGCCTTGTTTGTCCACGCATAGAATAAATTTTTCTGACTAACTGACCACGTTTTATTATTATGCGTATCAAGACTTCGCGCCAAAACAAAGCTAAACGAAAATACCGCAAAAATGCAAGCAATCTTAAAGTAAATAACAGAAATCTGTTTGTGCTTTAAAATTAAAAAATTAATGTATATTATTAAAAAAAAATTTACCTACATTTTATTTATTTATTTTTTTAGGGTGGTAGTTATTTTAGCTATGAAAAATCAAATCAATAAGAAAAATCAAATCAAAGAGAAAAAGATTAATGTTTAAAGAAAATAAAAGGACCTTTTAATGTAAATTAGTTTATGACTTTTATCAGTCAGTAATACTTTAAAATTCACGATAGAACTATAAACAATTTTTAAATGTTTTGTAAATACATTTAAATGTTTAAGTGTATTGATTTAAATGTTTGAATGTATTGATACGCAAGAAAACATTAAAACGATTGCTATTTATTAGTAAAATATGTTGTTGTTTTTCTTAAACGAAAGAAAATTTTATTGTCAAACGATTGAGTTGTTTATTTTGCAATCATTAATGAGTGTTAATATATAATAATGTCCTGAAGGAACTGTTTTTGTAACAATGGCAACAGAAGCAATGCAATTATTTTTTTAACTTCTTTCGTAATTACAAAATTATGCAATTGAATAATTTCAACATAATAAAAGGCAAGCATTGACTCAGTATAATCAGTTTAGAATAAGTCGAGAAAGAACTTTTTTCACATTAAAATTTTGTTATGTTTAAAATCTGAAATAATATGTTTAATAATTAAAACAGCAACTTATTTTCTTGTCAAAGTATTGGGGAATAAAGTCAACGTCTTTACATAAACTTTCGTAAAAACTAAAGTAAATGAAAAAGTTTAACCAAATTTGTCTAGCGTAAATAATGAATCAGTTTTTTAATACATTGTCTGATAAAGTTCGTGAATAAATTACGTATCAAGTCTTTTTATTTTCGTGAAAACTTTACGACTTATCGTCGTCTTTCCCTTGACTTGTATCAAATTTCGTAGCTGAAAATAGCAACCCTTAAAAAAGCAAACAAAAACAGTATAAAAAGTTTGAAAAAAATGTTCAAGACTTTTTTTTTTTTGTTACAAGAATTTTTTTATTTTTTTTTTTTATTATTATCAAAATATTTTTCTTACATCCAATTTCAATTTTATACTTTGTTTAGACTTCGTCTCCTTTTTTTAATATTATTTTTTATTCTCTGTGAATAATATCCGCTTTCACACGAAATATTGCCGCGGTCACGTTTTCTGAAAAACTTATTCTATGCGTTGACAAACAAGGCGTGCGACCGCACGCCTTTCCTGGGAAAGCCTGATATATATATATATATATATATATATATATATATATATATATATATATATATATATATATATATATATATATATATATATATATATATGGGTCAAAAAACTTGGTGATCCTAATTTTGACGTCACTATGGGAAGTTACAATGGGGCTGAAGTGTGTGAGTTAGTTGGACTCTTTATTTTCCAGCCATACAGAAAACCAGGTGACCACCCATTATACATCAATGTAAATTCTCTCCTAGTATTATTAAATCCGTACCAACTATGATATCTAACCGTATTAGCAATATTTCATCTAGCAAAGAAGTTTTCGATAGAGCAACATCGTTTTATAACAATACGTTAGCAGCAAGTGGGTTCAATGAAAAGATTACTTTTTAAAAAAACTTACCCCACCAAAACCAAAATCAAGATCACGAAACATTATTTGGTTTAACCCTCCGTTTTCGCAAAATGTAAAAACCAACGTCGCAAAAACTTTTCTAAATCTAATTGAAAAGCATTTTCCAAAGACACATAAGTTTCGCAAAATTTTTAATAAAAATAATTTAAAAGTCAGTTATAGTTGTCTTCCAAACTTCACCAATATTATCAACTCACACAATAAAAAAGTATTATCTAATGTTTCCAACACAATTTCCAACGTGTAACTGCCGGAATCCTTCACAATGTCCTTTGCAAGGTACGTGTCTTAGTAAAAATATAATTAAGTCTGCAATGTTAAAACATCACCACAGGATAGTGGTTTAAATTATATTGGTTTAACAGAGCACACCTTTAAAGATCGCTGGTACAAGCATAAGAACTCCTTTTAATACAAAAGTAAAGCTAATGCCACAGAACTTTCTAAATATATCTGGGAAATGAAAAAAAAGGGATTTTCAAATCCTATTCTTACGTGGAAAATTATTGATAGGGCAGAACCTTTTAAACCTGGAAGAAAGTTATGTAACCTTTGTTTAACGGAAAAATACCATATCATTACATCACCTTTGAAACTATTAAATAAGCGAAATGAATTAATATCTAAATGTCGCCACGAAAACAAATTTGTTATCTGCAACTTTAATGTTATCTAAGCTAACACTGTATTGTATTTTTGTATATAATTTTTGTTGTTGTTATGGTTGTTTGTAACGTCTGATGATCGCATATAGCGCGAAACTCTGAGTTATGTTACAAATTTAATTGTATTTTATTATTATTTTAATATATATATATATATATATATATATATATATATATATATATATACAAACCTCGGAATTAGGGTCGGCATTCGGCAATGCCGGCCTAAACGTGTTTGCAGTCGGCAAAAAAAATTTGGTTTTGCCGACCTCGTTTCAATATTATGGTAAAACCTTTGTATTTGCCAACCTGATGCTGACCTCTAAAAGATTGAGGTCGGCAAATTATTGCCGACCTCAATTTTTCTAATTCCAAGGATTGTATATATATATATATATATATATATATATATATATATATATATATATATATATATATATATATATATATATATATATATATGTATGTATATATATATATATATATATATATATATATATATATATATATATATATATATATATATATATATATATATATATATATATATATATATATATATATATGTATGTGTATATATATATGTATGTGTATATATATATATATATATATATATATATATATGTGTTTGTGTGTATATATATATATATATATATATATATATATATATATATATATATATATATATATATATATATATATATATATATACAATCCTTGGAATTAGAAAAATTGAGGTCGGCAATAATTTGCCGACCTCAATCTTTTAGAGGTCAGCATCAGGTCGGCAAATACAAAGGTCTTACCATAATATCGAATAAATTAATGCAGCTTTAGACTTTTTTAGTTACTTTATTCCATACGATTTTTTCAATTTTTTATTCCTACCCCAACCTAAATTCTTAGTTGATGTATTAGCACTCCTTTTTTTGATAAATTGCCTTCGCACTTTTTTGTTGGGGCAATTTATCAAAATACTTCAAATTCTCACACTGTACATGCATACATACACACACACACACACACACACACACACACATACACACGTTTATATACTATGTATATATATGCGTAAGTTTGACATTCACATTTAGTAGTTGATTTTGAATAAAACTTCATAAAGCTTATATAAATAATACATTCAAGGTGTATTAAAAAGGTAAATATGAATTAAAAGAAGTATTGGGAAAAGAATGAGCTTTAATTAAATATAAAAACATTTCTTATTTATAACCTTATAATATTATATATATGTATATATATATATATATATATATATATATATATATATATATATATATATATATATATATATATATCGTTTTATGTAGTGTTGTATTAAAATAATACACAACTCTTGTTCGTTGAAAAGTTCTCAATATTTAAGAAATTTATTTTGATTATATATAAATTTCATAACAGAGCGGTTTATAATTAAAAACGAAAAAAGAAAAAACTTTTATTATGGAATTTTAAGTTTCATGCCTAACGGCAATCATCAGCCATACATTACAAAATTTAAAATAGACGTTAAAATTACAATTAAAATTACGGTGGCGTGAGTTCTAATGACTCCATGGAAACAAAACTTTAAGTTTTAAGAGTATCACGTGGCGTAAAAGTGACATAAACCAATCAGGATCAATCTGCGGTATCATAGGAGGAAATAAGAAATTTATTTTTGTGCCTACACTTCGAGATTATTTCACTCCTTTTGTTAAGTAGGTTTTTACCTTTATACATTAGAATTTGAAACTTCTCGTTCAAACAGAGGTTGCACACTCTTGATGTTGGGTTGTATGGTTTGCAACGTTTAACAATTTTCCATCTGACAAAAGGTGTGAAGTTTTTTTCTTTTAATTTCCATATTTCTTTAGATAACTCTGTATCATTTTTATATATAATTGAATTAAAAGATTTGAGGTGGTTTGCATATCGAACTTTAAAAGATGTCTCGCTGAGTCCAAAATACACTTTTTCTTTGTACTCCGGATTGTTTGAACAAACGGTGGCTTGATAAACAATGTTGTTAGAAAGACAATTGTTGTTTATCGGACATTCGGATTTATCAATGCAGTTGCATGTCTTTTCATTAACTTTTGCTTCCTCATGTAACGTGTTTTTATTGTGAGAGTTGATAATGGATTTTATGTTTGGCATACAGAAATAACTTATTTTGATTGTGTTTCTATTAAATATTTTACGGAGTCTGTGGTTAACTGGAAAGTGGTGGTCGATGAGGTTTAAAAAACATTTACCTATTTTTGTTACAACATTTGTACTGAAAGAAGGATTATACCAAATTATTTTACGTTTATGGTTGTTGTTTGAAGACTTTATACTTGGATGGTATGCAAGTTCGCAAGTGTGTCCAGATTTTTTTAGGGCTTCTTAATAAGGAGGAATACTTTCTTTAAAAATCGATTCACTTGACGATGCTGCTGATAATCTTAACTCAATGGTTTTAGGAACACTTTATTATACTCGGTGGGTGGTTAGAACTTGTATGTATGTAATTAAGTATATTATCTGCTTTGCGGTAGGGTTTAAATGAACCATCTTTAAGGTTTAGCGTTAAATCCAAATAATTAACTATTTTCAAATTACTTTTAATGGATATTAAAAGATTGTTATTGTTTGAAACCAGTATATAACATTTTGAGTGTTTTGCCATTGGTTCAAAAATTGTTTCTTTCTCAGCTCGGAATTAATGTTGGATAAAATAGATTTTGAAATTCTTCCAATCGCATTTTTTGCAGGATTAATAAGTCTAACAGTTGGTTTATCTAGGAAGTTTTCTTTGTGATCTTTTAGAGTTATGAAACAATTTTCAGTACCGTTAATTCCAATTTTATTGTATACATCTTTACACCTTTTGTCAGATGGAAAATTGTTAAACGTTGCAAACCATACAACCCAACATCAAGAGTGTGCAACCTCTGTTTGAACGAGAAGTTTCAAATTCTAATGTATAAAGGTAAAAACCTACTTAACACAAGGAGTGAAATAATCTCGAAGTGTAAGCACAAAAATAAATTTCCTATTTCCTCCTATGATACCGCAGATTGATCCTGATTGGTTTACGTCACTTTTACGCCACGTGATACTCTTAAAACTTAAAGTTTTGTTTCCATGAAGTCATTAGAACTCACGCCACCGTAATTTTAATTGTAATTTTAACGTCTATTTTAAATTTTGTAATATATGGCTGATGATTGCCGTTAGGCATGAAACTTAAAGTTCCATAATAAAAGTTTTTTCTTTTTTCGTTTTTAATTGTATATATATATATATATATATATATATATATATATATATATATATATATATATATATATATATATATATATATATATATATATATATATATATATATATAGTTACTTTAACTTTCTTTTTCAAATTAGGTAAAAATTACCATCAATAAAAATTTTTCAATTCGATGGAAATTTCATAATATTAAACGTCACCTTGTTGTTTACTTTAGAGATGATATATATATAGTATTAGTATATTCTCAGCAATGTTCTAAATCTCTTCATCACAGCATTTTAAAGATTATGGAGAGCTTCCAAGTTGTTTTACAATATTCAAGCAATAGAGTTTGAGTGACATTGATTCAGAATGAAATTGATAATAAGTGTAAAATCCATAAAAAAATCTCAAAATTTGTGAATACTTGAATCATAAGTGGAATTTCTTATTATAATATATTCTAGTTATATTATATTATGTTTTATACATGTTTTTTTTTATTTTCTTCTCTCTATTTATATATTTTATTTTAATACAATCTGTAAGTTAATCAAAGTTTTTTGAATAAATGTAATATTGAAATATTAATTTAAATTATTATTATTTAAAGCTCTAATGTCTTAAAAAGTTAATTTCTTATCAGGATGCATACCAAACAACTCATAATTTTCATCAGTCTGTTTATTATATCTGTCAGTTTTTAATATCATGCAATTAAGATTTTTGAAATAATCAAACTCTCAACATAAATTTAGTACATTAGATTAGTGTTTATTATCTTTTATTATATTTTACCACAATATTGGGAATATCTTCATTTTTATTATTCTTCTACAAAGTATTGGGAATTTTTATTAATGTTCTATTACTTCAAAAAAAAATTGGATAGCCAGCATTGGGCTGGCTAACACACTGATAAGTTAAATTTTGCAATAAATCTAATTTATTTGCAAATATTATTCTTGTTATAAAACCTTGCGAGGTTGTATCAAGTCAAAATGAAAGTTGTAATAAAAGTTTTTAAGATCAAGTCAAAATTAGGCTTGTTATAAAGCTTTGTAAGACAAGTCAAAGTTAAGTTCAAAATTTAAATAAAAATTCATTACAGTTGTCAATATTCTTTTAACAGAAGATTAGACGAAAAGTTATTAAATGTTTTTTTTTTTTTCATTGTTATTTGATTTTTACTTATTAATATTAAAAAAATCTCTTAACAGTAATTAACTTTCTAGTAATTTATTAAATTATTCATATTTGTTATTTATATATTATAAATATTTATACTTGTTATTTATTTGTTTGTTTGTTTTTTGCAATGTTTTGTTTAATACTAGGTTTACATACCAGGAGTCATTTAAAGGTTTTCTCAATGAAACAGATGATTTTGCAGGGCAAAGAGAAGTCATAGCTGAAAATATGCAAGAAAATGTTCTTAATAAAATGCAAAAATTAGCATCTGACTTGAAAGCTGACAGGAAAAAGGTATTTTATATTAGTATTTTATATTAAAAATGATGTTCTGTTATTTTCAAACAATAATGTTAATTGAAAGAAAAAAATAACAATTGAAAAAATCTTATATAGTGTTTTCACAATAATGAGAATGCCTCACACTTCTGGTCCCCTAACTCAATTTATACAAGTAATTTAAGGCTCTACATAAGGAAAAAAATATAAAGTTTTTCAGATTTTTTTTTTTTTAATTTAATTTATATGATTAGATACAAAATTAGACATTAATTTCTTTGAAATGATTTTTTTTGTGGGTTGTAATCCTCAGCAGGAATAAAAGATATTTTTATAAATTTTTATTTATAAATTTTAAATGATTTTAAAGTGTTTTAAAATTGCATTAAATTTGATCATCAAGGCACAAAACATTTATATTGTACTTTAGAGCATCGTCAGCAATAAGTAAAAAACTTATTTAAACCCATAGTTTTTAGATGTGCAACTTGCTTGTTCTGCCAAATTCAGTCAAATAGAATTTTAGTTAAAGACCATTAAGTTCAATATTCTATTTTTAGAAAAAATTCTATTTTAAAAAAGCAACAACAACATTTAAGGGACAGGGTGAGATTTGTTCACTGCTAGAGGATGGAAAGTAAGTTTAGGCAGCAAATTTAAATATCTAATTGTAACTTTTGAATTTGTAAATTTAAAAAATTTTACCGAAAAAATTTTTAATTCCTTTGATAAAAGTTGTTAATAATTTATTTTAAAGTATATTGTTTATTATTATGCAAAAATTTTTGTAACTTTTCTAATTTAAGATTATTTACTCTTTAACAGCAGTTAAAGTGTAAATAAAGAGTTTTTTGAATAATAAAAATAAATTAACAAAAAACAACAATATATTAAATGCTATGAAAAATCTAAACTAGATAACTGACATTAAAAATACATAGTTTTTTTGACTTTTGAATTAATGACCTTGCATGTTAACCCATTATTGCTTACAGTAGCCGCATGGCTACTATCAATTTCTAGAGTTATTTATTTTGTTGATAACCTATTAAACATAATACCATTATTTTTTTCTCAAAGTATCAGCTTAATACAAAAATAAAACTCTTCAAATTAGGGTTTCAACATGATTTTTTTAAATACAGACTTAATGAATTACTTACGGTTTTTTGACTTTTTTTAGTACTATATATATATATATATATATATATATATATATATATATATATATATATATATATATATATATATATATATATATATATATATATGTGTGTGTATATATATATATATATATATATATATATATACAAATATATATACATTTATGTATATATGTTTCATATATATACTTATGCATGAGTTTCGTTGAGTATTTAATATATAAAATTATATTTTTTTAATAACTCTATTTAGTTTCATCAATAAAATTCATTAAAAATCTTTTTCTTAGTTGTTTGAAGTATCCATATGGCTATCATCATTTATTCAAAAACTGCTTGTGTCAGCAAAAACTAAATTGCAAAAAATGATCAAGCCTATATCAGATTTAGGTGCATAAAAAAAACATAACTAGTATAACCAACAAGGAATTGAATTAAGTTGATCAAAAATAATCCTTTTTTTACGTTGTCATTAACCTTTTATGGTTCACATTATATTTACTTTGAGTAAAAATTAAAGTTAAAATAATATTTTGTACCAAAGGAAATAATTTTTACTCAAAGTAAATATAATGTGAACCATAAAAGGTTAATGACAACGTAAAAAAAGGATTATTTTTGATCAACTTAATTCAATTCCTTGTTGGTTATACTAGTTATGTTTTTTTTATGCACCTAAATCTGATATAGGCTTTTTTTAAGTGTTAGCCAGCCTGATGGCACATAGTGACATCAGATTAACTAACACCCAGTGTTAGTCAGCCTAGTGTGTGTGTGTATTTGTATACATAAATATACATATGGCATCATACTAAATAGGTAGCTGCAGGGGCTTGTTTACATACTTTGACTGACTTAATAGAGAGAACATGCAAGGTGTGCAGCAATCGTTTTTTTCATCAATTTTCATTTTTTTTCTTTTTCTAAAAAATCAAAGAGCACATTTTAAGAATTAAAGCTCAAAAATTACATTAAAAAGTTGCATCTTTAGAGACATTTTTTTTGTCTGACAACTTAGCACAGTTTTTTATAGTTTGTTTGTTTGTAATTTTAGTTTAAGTTTACATTTGTTAATTCAGCGCAATTTTATTACGCGCATACGTGACCAAATTGTCAAAATTAAATATTATATGCATGGTCATATAAGGCTTGCTGCTTCTCAGTAGACCGTACAGGTCTACTGAGAAGGCTTGATATGTGCAACCCTCAGAATTCGGAAAAATGAGGTCGGCAATAATTTGCCAACCTCAATCTTTTAGAGGTCAGCATCAGGTCAGCAAAAAAAACTTGATACAAAGGTCTTACCATAAAACACAGAAATGAGGTTTGCAATTTTTTGTTGTCCTTAAACACCTTTAAGAACATAATGGCCAATCCAAAACATTTATATTTTTTTCCTGGAACCACTTTTTTACACTTCGTGCCGTGTGAATTGCCACATTGTCTTGTTGAAAAATCCAGTTCTCAGTAGGTTAACCTTCACTAAATTGTATTAAAATATCTTGTAAAAGATCTATGTAATTTCTTGCATTTATTTTTGTTTTAATAAAACATGTTGGAATTTTGCCGTGGAAACAAAATGCGGCCCACAGCATAACTTTCCCTCCTCCGAAGTTACGACTTGAAGGTATGCTATCTTTTTTTTTCCAAATCATGCCAATAATACTTCAGGCCCAACTTTTTTCATCAGAAAAAATAACATTTTCCCATTCTGCATCCCATGTCATGTGGTTTGCAAACTTAAACCTTGCACTTTTATGTTTTTTTGTCAATAGTGGATTCGTCCTGATTTTGACAAAATTTGTTGGATACAGGTAATTCAAGTTCAGTCCTTATCATACTCTGGATAATGCCAAATGCAAAATGGAAGAATGTTGCCTTTTGGTTGTTTTTTTATTTCCGCTCTTAAAGTGATTTTTGTTGTAATTTTTACCTAAGTTTGTAAAATTGATCACTGCATGATGAGACCTTTTGATTTTCTTTGGAATTTGTCGATTGGACAAACTCATATCTTTGTAAGCAACAATTTTTGCTTTTTCTTCCTCATTTAACATCTTTCCACGTGGCATTGTAATAATTAAATAAATCCTAATTAAAAATACACAAAACTTCCATGTAAAACAAACAAATTAAAAAATTTTACTCAAGCTTTAATTAATTCTTATAAAGTGTTCAAAACAAACTTATGAAACAATGGAAATTTCGCCTGTATATATACCAATTTTGAAAACATTCTAAAAAAGTTTAGTTTAGTTTTAATTGTTTTAGAAACACATAAAATTGTCATAAACGCATTTGTTTGCAATAGGTCTAATAAAAAAATTTTTTATGGTTAATTTTATAAATGCGTTCTGCATAAAATCTGCAATAGCTACATTGAACTATAGAAATTTTATATTCAAAAATTTATTTTCAAAAACAAAGAAGGAAAGAGTGCCAAATTTGTTGCATGAAAAAAATAATAATTTATTTGTATAAAGAAGTCATTAAATTTCTAATGAAAATACATATAAACAGAGTATTTGTTAACTTTATGTTTTTAAATTGTGTTTTATTAACCTTTTTTTCATTCCTTATTTAAAAAAAGGGTTTATGTTTTAATATATTTCTTTGTATATCAGTAATATTTTACTGTTCATGTTTTAGCTTAACATTTAATTTTGTTTATGGCTTGCTGTATTAATGTATAAATCATTGGTATTTATGTAATGTAAAGTTTGTTAATTGTAAAACAGTATAAGTTTACAATAGTTACTATGTTAGTGAGAACAAGGATGGCAACTTGTCCTGTTTTTGGCATGCTAAAAGAGATGTCACAAGTTGTTTTGCCAACATCTTAAGATGTAATAAAAATTTGCTTGTGAAACATCAGTTATAGTCTAATAGCTGCTACAAAAGAGCCTTCTATCACAGAAATCCCTGAAATAGGTTGCTGTAACTGTTGAAAATATAAAAAAAAGTCAAAAGTATCACTCTATCATGATAAATGCAGAAAACTATTACAAAATCAATTGGAGCAATGGTAAAGTGAACATTTTCAAAGAAGAATCATGACACAAAATGTTTGATATTTTCATTTGTATATGTGTTTGAGAAATGTGTATGTAGCAAAACTGGCAGGGTTCCTCCTGCAAACCAAAATCTTCTATCAAGATCAGAGAGCTTTGTTGATGTGAATTGGCAATATTGTGATTAAGCATCGTAATATCATATCTGTGCTTACATTTGGTGATATTACAAGTCAACCTTGAGGTGAAAGTGAAGATGATAATTAAATTATTCAAATAGTTGTTAATCTAATAAATTATAAAATAAATAAATAGGTAATCAGGGTATTGTTTTTGATGTATCTTAAAGTGACATAATTATTCTCCGTATTTTCAATATATTGTTAAATATCCAAAAGATACCTCACATCTTATTGATCCATGTAAAATACAACCAGTAGGTAAGAGAAAGCATAATCCACTGAAAAATTCTAATATATTTTTTGGAGCTATATATGTATATATATATATATATATATATATATATATATATATATATATATATATATATATATATATATATATATATATATTTATCAATTAACTAGATAAATATAAACATCAATTTAGTTTTAAGGATAAAATATTACACAAGAACGCATCATTTTAAAAGAAGACCAAAAGCCTTTTCAGGCTTATTTGGTAAGGTACTTGTAAGTTGCAAGAAATTACCAGTTGTTGCATTTAAAAGATTGATAATTGACTTCCAAAAGTTAAACACAATTGTTATCTGAACACAGATAAAAATTGCCTTTGGGAAATGTATTAAGCAATATCTAAAGGTGAGTGTTCACTAGCTCTTTTAAAGAAAACTGCAAGTTTTATAAACCACTCAAGAATTGTAAGGTATAGTAGATCCTGTATGTATTACAATGCAATGGCTGTTTTGCTTATCTAGAGAATCCCGTACTAATTAGGAAAACTGAGGTCTTTAAATTATTGCTGACCTCAAACACTTTGAGGTCGGCAGAATGCTGACCCTAATTCCGAAGGCTGATAATAGATGTTTTTAAAACTACTAATAAATATTGTAATAATTAATTCCAAAATATTTTGCTGAATTATTTCATTAGATTTAGACCTTGATCTTTGCAACTAATCAACTAATCTGTAAATCAAAATTTTGACAAGTTATTTATATTTTTTTATTTCATGGTTTTAATTTATCCTTTAGTGTATTTACCGTTATAAAGGTGAAATTAGACTGAATAAAATGATATACGAAAATAGCTGTCAGAATAAATAAGTTATAAATTTTGCCTTAGTGACATATTTTTAAATACATTAACTAGTTGAAATATTCTTTTTATCGTGTATGAACACATTTCAATGACCTTTATGTTATTCTTTTTAGTTTCTGCAGTTTTTTCAAGTAGTATTTGACAGGAGAATTTACTTTTTGATTAAAAAAATGTATGACTAAATTTTGACTAACATTTTTATGAAAAATACCTATTTTTAGTAACTTGTTCCTATTTAAGGCAGCAGTAACCATTAAAATTTTAAAAGATTTTTTTGGGTTTATAGTATATATACATACTACTTCAGAACATACTACTTCAGGTCTGTAAAGTACTAACATGCTCTAATCTTTTTAATTTTTGTAATACATTCTTTCAGACAAATAAAGGAAATAATGAAAAGCTTCACCAACAAAATGCTTAAGTTTTAATGCTTTTACACACCACAGGGCCATACTTGAAAATGAATATGATTATTGTAATTAGTTCAAAAAAAAGTTCATATTTTTTGCACATAATTCATACTATTGTCATAAAGCTTAAAAAGTCTTTACTTCATGTAATTTACTTTAAGTAAACTGTTAATAATTCATATTAATAAATTTTACTATTGCATTTTTAAAATAATTTGGTTTAATGTAGGCTATTTCAACGTTAAAATAATTTGGTGTAATGTAGGCTATTTCAATGTTAAAATAATTTGGTGTAATGTAGGCTATTTCAATGTTAAAATAATTTGGTGTAATGTAGGCTATTTCAACGTTAAAATAATTTGGTTTAATGTAGGCTATTTCAATGTTAAAATAATTTGGTGTAATGTAGGCTATTTCAATGTTAAAATAGTTTGGTTTAATGTAGGCTATTTCAATGTTAAAATAATTTGGTTTAATGTAGGCTATTTCAACGTTAAACGATCATAAAGCTAATCTTGACCAGCTCCAAAAAGCGATGCTAGTTGTAAGTATTTTAGTTTGTTCTTTTTCTCTGATATGTATTAAATTAATAGTACAAATAGTTTTTGCATCACAATAAAATTTTTAAATTACTTTATTCCTTAGAAATGCTGTTTTTTTAATTGATATATCTTTTATTTATTTTAGGCCAAAAAGAAATATGAGCAGGCTAGTGAAGATGCCAATAATGCATTGAAATCTTATGAAACAGCATCTCAAAGCCTTGATTTAACTAAAGCACAAATTTTAAAGGTAAATATTGTTTGTTTTTTAATTTTGTTTTTATATCTTACACCCAAAATAAATTTATAAGTTTAGAGAAACACTGAGTATTCTGAGTGTTTCTCTGAATATCTTTATTTTTATTTCTTTGTAAATAAAACAATTAATGTAGTATATCAAAGGCTTTGTGAGTCCACATAGATAAACTTAAATAAGCTTGTTATATATGGTTTCAATGGATAATTAAAACAGTATGTTGATAATTTTTTACGTAGTTGGAGGGAAATATCAAACCATTCTGGAATGAAGTTTATAGTAGAGTTTCCCAAGGTTTATTACTTGGTCTTTTGTTCTTTATTATCTATATAGAAATATATCAGAAGTTATAATAATTGTAGAGTAATTTTGCTAAAATCATTGATTTCCAGGAATGGAATATCCTATTAAAAACCTGGTGAAAGTCACAAAATTTATTAATAGTTTTTGGCAAACTATAAATTGCTTATGTAAAATAGGGACCATTTTCAGACATTTTGGGACTCCAGTCAACAAAATAATAGGTTTCGAGACTTTAAACCCTCTGTGTTTTCTTTTTTTTTTTTTTTATCAATGTAGTTTTTATAATAATGGTACATTTAACATTAAAAATATTTCCTTCATATGCTCCATTCAAATATGATTTATATTTGTTCATATATTAAAAAAGTTATTTATTCAAAATTTTCTATATTATTTATTTATTGAATCAGCCAAAGACTTAATTAACCTAATAAAATGAACCAATTGCTTTCCTAATTTTTTTAGAAAATGTCTACATAATTTATTCAATAATAATTTATTCTACATAATCTATTCAATAATTTTAATGACACGAGTGATAATTTATTCTACATAATCTATTCAATAATTTTAATGACTGAAATATTAAAATCATTGAAATTAAAACTCAATAGTTTTTTTTTTTTTTTAATTTTTGATTGCTTTAAAGTTGCAAAAATCCACTACTTAATTGCTAATTTAAATAGACCATGTCAGCCTATCATGCTAAAAAATCTGCTACTTTAATCACATTCAAATAGATCATGTACAGCTAGCCTATCACTAAAAAAATTTGCTACTTTAATCACATTCAAATAGATAATGTGCAGTCAGCTTTTCATGCAATAAAATCTGCTACTTTAATCACATTCAAATAGATCATGTACAGTAAGCCTATCACACTAAAAGAATTTGCTACTTAAATCACATTCAAATAGACCATGTGCAGTAAATCTATCACACTACACAGATTGGCCAGCCAACTGTAAATCAGGGAAAAGTCAGTGAAATATTTTCAAGTCAGGGAAATCAGGGAAAAGTCACTGATGTTTACTTTTTTTTCCCAAAAGTCAGGGGAAATCTTTTAGTTTGTTTTTTTAACTTGTTTTCACAAACTCCAGAAAACACACACACACAAGAATCAATCAAATGAAAAATTTCTATTTATTTTAGGCACTTTACAGTATTCAGCAATGTTTGGAAAAATAAAATAGCCTATAGCGTTACACATGGTCTTGCCCCATATTTCCATAGATTGGCAGTCTTTAGATTTCCAAACAGTTGTATGTTTTAATGATGCTTTGAATTAAGTTGTTCAAAAAGGTCAAATGGATATTTGCATTCATTATTTTGACATTATTGTCAGAAGTTACAATTTTGAAGTGATTGTATTCAGTTACAAAGATTCATTAAAACGAAAAAGAGAAGAAAAGTTGTGTGAAGAGAAATAATGTATTGATAAAAAATTTGCTCAACAGAAAGTTAAGGAATTAAATGCTAAAAATCAAAGCTAAATCATCATCATCAGGAATATATATGTGAGATTAAATTAGAATTTTTAAAAAATAGTACTTCAAAAATAGCTTAAATCTTTTAAACAAAAATAATATAAATTTGTTCATTCCACTTTGTGGAATGTTTATATTTTAAAGGACTTCATTTCCTTAATTTATAAATAATCAAGTTTTTTGAAGAGCAAAAATTTATTTATCAAACCATTTAAAGTGTTTATTTTTTAACTCATGACATCTTTTCACTTTCAACACTTTTCAAGAAATTTAATTTAATTTTCTATTAAAATTTCCAAATCCTAAGAACACTAGACAAACGGGACTAAATGCTAAAAATTTGAATATTTGCATATGCATATTAATTTTATACTATTGTTAGACTTTGTTTTATTAATAGACTTTTATTATTAGTTATTTAAATATAATTAGTTATATATGTTATTTTTATAAATTTTTAAGTTTAATCCAGTGTTTGAATTTATTTCAATTTGAAAATACTGCTAAAAAACTTGACTTCATAGTCATAATATAGAAAAGGCTGAAGCTTAAATTACAATCATGTAACTTATATAGTAAAACAATATAGAAATAATAAATGTATATACAATATATGATATGTATCTTTTAAATTATTATTTTCCTTCATAATATCTTTGTTATTAAATGGGAAGCGGTTATAAGAAAGAGTTTAAAAAAATGTAAAAATCCACACTTTAAAATATAACTGTATCAGGAGAAAATATATTTAGTCAGGAAAAGGTCAGTGAGTTTGATTGTACAAAGTGGCTGGCCACCCTGATATCACAGTATCCACTACTTAAATCACATTCAAATAGATCATTGGTCATATAAATTTTACCAATGCAGTGGGCAATCTATTAAACAATATGAAAAAATCAAACACATTTGATTTAGTAAAGTTATTTGTTTGAACCTTGATCCTTATTTGTAGCTTAACCTAAGCTTGTAGTTCAACCTATGCTTGTTTTTAGATTAACTATACTCTATGTAATTCACATAATTTCAATATCATTAATCAAGTAATTTCAATATCATTAAGTTTTTCAAGCAATATTTATTAGATGTTGTGTTCGCAAATGGTTATATTTCATTTTATAAAAACATTATTTCAAGGAATTCACTCATTTTAACTCTAGAGTTCTTAAAAGTTTTTAAAAGCTTTTCCGTTATGAGTAATTTAATATAAATACCTTATATCTCAAGTTATGTTCTTAAGTATAGTCTATAGTTAAAGTTTACTCTTTAAGCCAAAATGCTTGGCAGCACTTTGGCTAACTACGCAGCTTTAATCATATATATATATATATATATATATATATATATATATATATATATATATATATATATATATATATATATATATATATATATATATATATTTAACTATGTTGCATATATTTCTAGTTTCAAAAAGTTTCTCAAGACAAAGGTCATTTAGCTGAAAAAGCTTCTGATGAATATAAACTTGCTACTGATAACTTTAACAAAGCTCAAACTTTATTTTATGAAGGTGATCTTCCTAAAACAATAAATGTAAGTCTAATAAATGTAATTGATATCATATTAATTTTATTCAAAAATAAATTGTATTCTGGTGTTGATTTTACTTTAGTTTGAAATATATAAGCAGTATTTTTAACAATTTAGAATGAATTACAAAAACCTGAAGAAACAAGAATTGAAATGCTAAAAAATTTTTTCATTGAAGTATCAAATATTCAACAAAAAGTTCAACCAATAATTTCTCGATGTTTGGAAGGTATGGTAAAGGCTGCAGAAATTTGTAATCCTGCAAAGGTATTTTGTTTATTGTGTTGGGTTTGATTTTTTTATTCAGATACTTTAAAAAATATTTTTAAATATTTCAAGTGTGTAATTTAAATCTAAATCATAAATAAGTCAAAAGTTTATATACTTATTATTAGGTTTCTGATTTACACAAAAACTTTAGACTTTTTAAATGAAGAATGTTTAAATAATTGCCTTTAAACTTTTGAAATTAAGGGTTTGAATAATTGCTAATTCTATTGAGCTTTTTATTATAAGGGTTTTACAAGGTATTTAAAGTTTTATAAATCATGAAATTTTTTAGAATAAAAACCAGGGATGTGGAGTTGTAAAAAAAAAGTACCAACTTCGACTCCAACTGTTAAAATTTTCAGAGTACAACTCCAACTTAGTTTTGATAAAAAAATTTATCAAAATTTTTGATAAATTTTTTGAATTCTTTAAAAAATGTAACGCAATAATTAAAAAAAATTTTTTTGCCAAATAAATGAACAAATTCTTTGAAGGTTAAATATTTTGTACATATTCGTGCAATATTAAGAAGTTTTATTATTGGAGTTGGAGTCGCAATTTTGTTTAGCAACTCTGACTTTTGTGACTCGGACTCCACAGCCCTGATAAAAACCAAATCAAAAAGAAACAAAAATAAAATTGCTATTAGAAAGTCTATTGTAAATTTAAGGATTAGTTAGTAAAAAAAAAATTAAAAATAAAAAATAAAAAGTTACCAATAAATTAACAAACAAAAATATTAAATATTTTGGGAAATGAGAACATGGGGTACCCAAGGATGAAAGTATTTTTTATTATTTTTGAAAAATAAAGACTGAAGCTTATTTTCTTTTTGTTCTGAATGCATTGCAAAATTGATTCTTTTTATTTTTAAGAAATGCAACTACTGATGATATGATGATGAAGGCGCGAAGGAATTTTAAATAAGCTTGAGAATTTCTGGAAACGCATTGTGTCAGCAAGCCAATAAATCTTATTGGTTTAACGGGTTTGCTGACTCAGCGAAAGTGATTCCAGAATGTGCTATAGCGATTTTTCTTTGGATAATTTTATTGTCGTTTTGTTGTTGACAGGAGTCTTAAGTTTGTTTTACTTTGTTAAAGTTTTGTAGATTTCTGTAAAAAATCTTAATTAGAATATATATATACAATATTTAATTTATTTTGGTACATTCTCGGAACCATAAAATGGTAGCAGAGGGTAGTTGCATTTAATAATAGTTAATCGTTTTATCGTCGTTGCTTCGGTGTTTATTGAAATCGTGAAATCAAATAAGAACTTTAATAAAGTAAAAACTATGGGTAGAAACAGAAAAAAATAAAAAACAATTGTTGGAAGAAGAATCAACAAATAATAAAGATGTTGATATATTTATGGCACCACTCAAACAAAAGAAAACAATAGCAAAGACTCACTTAACAAAAACAAAATAAAAACTGTTGCAGTTATTTGATGATAATATGTTTAGCACATGTGAGTTCAAAGAACATCAAAAGAAAGATGAAAATCAACATCAGACAGTAATCGAATTGTTAACACAGTTATCCCAACAGTATGAAGTTATAGGAAATGTTGATAAAATGTGTAAAGTAGTTGATGAAATCAAAAAAATCGAAATAGAGTTCACTCCAGTTATGGATAAAGTAAATGGATATTTATTCAGTAAAAAAAACAGTTCTTCAAGCATAACACCAGCTGCTCCATCTAATGTTGAAATATTGCAGCGAAAAGAAATACAAAATCAAGACACCATTTTCAAGAAGCAGATCGAGCTTAAACAAAAACAAGAAAAACTTTTGTTAAAAAAAAAAGCACTAGAAAAAAAATACAAAAAGAAATTAGAAGCACTTGAAAAAGAAAATGTTGACGAAAGCACAAGCTTTATGGAAACTTATTATATTTATGCAAATCAAGAAGTTATACCAGATATTTCAGACAATGAATTAAATGCAGATATTGGTGTCTTTAAATCATCAAAGTCGAACGAAAAAGTTACTTTTAACTGCAAATTTATACCCTGAAGAAAAAGTAAATACAAGGAAGCAAGATATTGGACACGATTTATGGAGACAGTTAAAAAGTGTTTTAATTCCTGTCTTTACTGGTGATAAGCGTAACTATAAAAACTGGAAGTTGGCCTTTCTAGCCTGTGTTGATCAAGCTCACGCGACTGCAGAGTACAAGTTGTTGCAGTTACGACAATACCTGTCTGGTTCAACGTTAACCACCATTGATGGATTGGGTCACTCGAGTTATGCCTATGAAGCTGCAAAAGAAAAACTAGAGTGAAAATATGGTGGATACATGGGCGAGTTAGAAACTTCAAACCAATAAGAAATGACCATCCTAAGGATCTGGAGAAATTTGCTGATTTATTAGACATTGCAGTTACTAACCTCAAAGAAGCAGAAAGGGAAGAAGAGTTCGGCAATCAAACATTTTATAGAAAACTTCAAAGAAAATTACCAGAGAAAATGCTTACTCATTATCAACGCTGGGTTTTCGAAAATGCAAAAGAAGAAAATGTTGAAACCTTACGACAGTTTATTATTAAAGAATCAGAGTTTCGAATTGCTGCAGCTGAAACAACTCATGGGTTGCAAAGTACTAGTCGTTATATACTAAAACATGATCAATTGTGTTTTGGTGAAAGCAGAACAATTGAAACAAGAAAATCGTGGTTGAAATGTCTTGTTTGTAAGCAAAATCATGCCTTGTGGAACTGTGACCAATATACACAACTTGATACTTTAGATAGATGGAAATTGGAAAAAGTAATAAATTATGTTATCTATGCTTGGGAAACAACCATACTGGAAGTCTGTCTACTAAAACAAGAATATGTGGTATTAATGGATGTAACGAAACACACAACAAATTGCTACATAAGTCAAATCCTATTAACTAAGACAACCGGATTGAAAGAAATAAAAAGTTGCAGTTAATGAATCTCACAGAGGAGGAGCAACTTAAAGAAACTGCAAACATTACAATTTCAACTGAATCGAAACTTAAAAATAATGGTTGTGGTGTTTATGTAGCACTTAGAACTGTTCCAATCTTCTTGAAGAATCGTTATAAAACAATATCAGGTAAAAGGATATATTCGAAAGCTAGAAAAAATTGAAGTTAATAGTGATAGTTGGTATTTACCTCATTTCCCTGTTATTCAAATAAACCATCAGACTACAAAAACACGACCAATATTTGATGGATCAGCAAAGCATAACGAATTATCTCTTAACGATAAAATTCTTCAAGGTCCAAAGCTACAATAAGACTTGTTTCGAATGTTACTATGATTTCAACGATATCCTGTGGCAGTGATTTGCAATATAGCAGAAATGTATCTACAAATGTCTGTTTCACCGGACAATAGAAAGTTTCAAAGATTTTTATGGAGAGATCTAGATCAAAGCAGGGACCCAGATATTTTCAAATTTCAAAGAGTAGTGTTCGGTATCAATTCATCGTCTTTTTTAGCACAGTTTATATCACAAGAAAATGCAAGGAAACACGTTGAAAAGTATCCTTTAGCTGCGGAAACAATTCTTGAATCGATGTACATGGATGATAGTATTGACTCTGTTACTGATGAAAAAACTGGTATTGAGTTATACAAACAGTTAAATACAGTTTGGAATTTAGCTGGAATGCATGCACGAAAATGGTATCCAACTCCGAAATATTATTGAAAGAAATCACAATTAAGATCTCAAGAAGTAGATTTGGACAAAAGTAAATTTCCGTCAATCAAAACTTTAGGGATTATGTGGTTATCAATAGAAGACGTTTTTGCATTTAAGTATCAAGCACCTAATGAAAATTTTGTATTCACCCAAAGAAACTTTTTAAGAAAGATAGCAACACTATTTGATCTTCTTGGACTTTTATTACCCTATACAATGAGAGCAAAAGTGCTCCTACAGCTGATGTGGACCAGTGGGATTAGTTGGGATTATTCGTTGGATCCTAAACAATTTCAACTAGCATCTAAATGGTTCCAAGAGTTAAAGGATTTACAAGACATAAAAATACCAAGATGCATTCAACAATAAAATCAAAGTTTAGTGATACTTTCATTTCACACATTTACTGATGCTTCGGAAATCGCATATGGAGCTGTAACTTATGCAAAATGTCAATATAAAAATGGAGAAGTTTCTATTAACCTTATTGCAGCCAAATCGAGAGTGGCGCCTTTATCCGCATTAAGCATTAGAACTATTAGAACTACTTGGTGCAGTTTTAAGGTTAAGATTAAATCACAGTATTGCAGAAACTTATAAAGTTGATATTAACGAAGTGATATTTTGGACAGACAGCATGAATGTGATATGGTGGATAATATATCAGAGTAAAAAATTGAAATCTTTTGTGGCTAATAGAATCAGAGAAATTCATACAGAAACAAACCCAAATCAGTGGAGATACGTACCAACTAAGGAAAACCCTGCTGATGACATAACAAGAGGTCTTGCAGTATCAGAACTAAAAGAACAAATTAGAAGGTGGAAAGGACCAGATTTTCTGGCTGATCAAAAAAATGTCCGGAAAGAAAATACATCTACATCATTGTTATCAAAACTTGATAACGATGATGTAGAAGTAAAAATGTCTAAAGCAAATTCGACCTTGTTAGTAAATGTGTGAAATGAAAGTATCACTAAACTTTGATTTTATTGTTGAATGCATCTTGGTATTTTTATGTCTTGTAAATCCTTTAACTCTTGGAACCATCTAGATGCTAGTTGAAATTGTAAAAGATAACATCTGGAGACTGTAACCTCAGAGATTTTCAAGTTGGATTCGACTTACAAGAGTGCTTGCATGGGTACATCGTTTTATCATTAACTGTACGTCATCAAAAGCAAGCAGATTCGCAGGAGAACTATTACCAGAAGAGATTACTGATGCAAAAAATGAATTAATAAAATTTGCTCAAAAAGAGAATTTCAAAGAAGAGTACAAAGCGTTGTCAGCCAAAAAACGTTACCAATGACTAGTAAAATACTATTTTTAAGACCAAAAATAGATGAGGATGGTGTATTACAATGTGATGGGCGTTTAAAATATGCAGAATATTTGCCCTACGATGCCAGATTCCCTATTATTCTCCCAAGAAAAAGCTGAATAACGAAACTTATAGTGAAGAAGTATCACGAAGAGGGAAAACATGTATGTGGAACTAATCAGACCTTGGCAATGCTATCTAACGTCTGTTCACAAAAAATCCGGAATGAAAAAATGTTCTTAATTGAATACAAAATTAATCGATTTTTGACAAAAATTTTAACTAAAATGAGAGACTGGACATCGTTAACTATTTTATAACCGAAAGTGGTCCTAAATCAGCAGCTTTTCGAACTTTAGTTTTGACTGAATCCATTAGGTTGAAAAAGTAGTCTGGATCGAACTCTTTCAACTTTAATCGAATTCTATTCTTAAGGTGGTCAAGATTTTTCGCAGTAAATCCATTTCCATAAACTTTTGCTTTTAAATGTGCCCAAAAATTTTCAATTGGCCTTAACTGCAGTACATTTGGGGGGGTTATCTTTAGCGTCAACAAAGTTAATACCTAAAGTGTTGTAAGTTTCTAATGTGTGTTTTGCATAATGACATCTCGCTCCATCAGGCCAAAATAAAATTTTCATGTTTTGATGCTTGGAATTTATAAATGGATGAAGTCTTTTTGTAATACATTCTTTAGAATAAGTTTTTGCATCCAGCGCACAATGACCGAAACGACTGAATGCAATCCAAACAAGAACTTTCTCGTCAAACCTTTTTTTGAATTTGAATTTAATGTTAGGATCAGTTTGAGAACTACCCTTTGTATAGTAGCCAGAGTTTTGTGAAAAATTTGCACCATTTACACAGAAATAAGCTTCGTCGTCCATGATGATTTTAAACTCATTTGGTGGCTTGAAAAAAATTTTTGAAAGTTTTAATAAGTTTTTCTTTTGTTTAATTTCTTGCTTTTCTGTTGTTTTTGGTGCATTTTTTCTTTTGGTATACTTCAGTCCATGCATACTTAATAATCTATTTACATATGAAACGCTTATCTTATATTTTAGTGCTAATTTTCTTTGCGAAATCCAGATTCTCTCTTCTGCTCTTGCAATCATGGAACGGGTTTTTCTTTTCGTTGGCAAATTATTTTAAGACCTTTTAATTATGTCATAAATTGTAGATTTAGCGATTCCCATTTTCTTAAAATGATCCACTGTAAATTTCTTTCCACTGTTTATGTTTTGATTATAAATTTAAAATTTCCAATCACATTTCTAACATCGTTCTCTTTTAGATGCTCCATGGTTATTTGAATTAATTATTTAAACTCAATTTTTCCACAAAATGAAACTGTTGTTGTTGACCGATTAAATTTAAAAGTTTCGAATCGAAAATTCGAAATTTAGAACAATTTGTGTACATTTGAAATCAGTCCGGATTTTTTGTGAACAGACGTTAGTCGGTATTGGATATTACAAGCAAGAGAAGAAATACGTGAGTGGGAAAATCAATGCCAGCATTGCAAAATGCAAAAAGCTAAAGCTGGGAATTAGATAATGGCACCATTACCAAAAATCAGATTAAAAATGCCTTTGCATGCATTCTCAAGAACAGCTGTTGATTTTGGTGGTCCATTTATAACAGTGCAAGGAAGAGGTATGAGAAGAACTAAACATTATTTGTGTTTGTTTACTTGTCTTACATCACAGGCTGTGCATTTGGAAATAGCATTTAGATTGGATACAGATTCATTTTTAAACGCGTTTTATAGAATGGTTAATCAGCGTGGCCTACCAAAGGAAATGATTTCAGATAATGGTACTAACTTTGTTGGAGCCAATAGAGAACTTCAAGAGCTTGTAACTAGTTTAAATATAAAAAAAATAAAACAATCAACAGCCAATAAAGGAGTTAAATGGCATTTTAACCCTCCAATTGAACCATATTTTGGAGGAGTCCATAAAACCATGATCAAGTCAGCAAAGAAAGCTATATAAAGTATTCTGGGTAATGCAGATATTAATGATGAAAAACTGATGAAAGCATTTACAGGCGCAGAATCATTGATCAACTCAAGACCTTTAACATACCAGTCTTGCAATCCTGACGATGATGCCCCATTAACATCGAATCATTTCTTACATGGTCGAGTAGGTAGCGAATTTGCACCGGAAAATGTTGATACTGAGGATTTTAGCATAAAAAAACAATGGCGCAGAATCCAAGAACTTATCCATCACTTTTGGAAGAGATGGTTATGAGAGTGGCTTCCCACCTTAAACTCTAGGAAAAAATAGTTTCTTGAAAGAAGTGATATTCAGATAGGAGATGTTGTTTTAGTTAATGTTGTTTTAGTTAAATAAATAAAATAAATAAATAAGTAGCCTCCTCGTCTGTAGTGGCCTTCTCGGCCTTGAGGAGGTGAAGTAAAATAAAGAAAAAAGTTGAAAAAAAAAATCATGGATCGATGAGCCTACGGCACATCGAAGAGGAGGAGAATGGTGCGAAGGAATTTTGAAGAAAGTTTGAGAATTTCTGGAAACACGCTGTCAGCAAACCAATTATTGCGATTTTTCTTTGGATAGTTTTATTGTTGTTTTGTTGTTGACAGGAGTCTTAAGTTTGTTTTAATTTATTAAAGTTTTGTAGATTTCTGTAAAGAATCTTAGTTAGAATATATATATATATATATATATATATATATATATATATATACAATATTTAATTTATTTTGGTACATTCTCGGAACCATATATGTAAATATTTTATGTTTCACATTTTATTAGTAGATTTACAATTATTTGAAATTATATATAAAAATGACTTTACATGACGCAAATTGGCTGAGGATCTTCTTATGAAACTGAGATGTGTTTCTATGTAATTTGAAATTATGTGTAATCTTGAATGTATTTTTGTGTAATTTCATGCCCCTCTAGGCTTCTTCTTTTTTTTTCTTTTTTTTTCTTTTTTTTTGTTGTAAATAGCTGTGCAGAGAGTTCTATTGAATGTGAATATTTAAATGTAAAACATATAAAAGTAATTTAAAAGATGCTAAAAAAATTGACATGACAAAAGATTGTTTAATATTCAAGAGATAAATTTTCTAGACTAAAAAATCTAAAACAACCTTTTTCTGAATAAAATATGAAAATATGAGACTCTTTTATAATATAAAATCTTATTCAGGCCTGCTCTCTCTCTCACTCCAACACATCCTGTAATTTTTCTTGTGCCAAAGTATGATTGTGTAAAACTTGATGCGTTTGGTCAATAGTTTTGCCACAATGTCATTTTTTCACTAGACAAAAAATAGGGCTGAGAAGTACCATTTTTAGAAAAAACAATCCATGTAAAAATCACTATCTCAATGAAATTTTAGTTTAATCGTTTCTTTTGATTTCATTTGCGTTGCTCTTCTTCATCATAGCCATCTTTAAAATATATTTAATACAAAACATTATTTGTTATTAAAATACCATTTAATTTATTATAATAATATCTAATTTAATAGTATTAAGTGTCATGTTTTCTGTATTGAAGAGAAAAACTTTTTCAATACAAAATAAGTAATTGTAGAGCAGAGTTCTTCCTTTAAATAATTTGTTTTTTGTTGAAAAATAGATGCCTTTAGAAACAAATTTTTCTTATTTCCTTTTAACTATAGTTAGAGACTGCAATAAAGCTATCAAGCTAAAAAATATTATTAAATAATTTTAGGCTAAAAATAATCACACAAATAATCACTGGCTAAGTTGCTCTCAGAATCATAACAAAAAGGAATATTATATCTCAGTTGCTAAGTTGCTCTTAGAATCATAACAAAAAGGAATATTATATCTCAGTTGCTAAGTTGCTCTTAGAATCATAACAAAAAGGAACATTATATCTGTCTGTGTCAGCATTTTTTTTCTCCGCAATAACCTTGAAACCTATAATGTGTACAGAAAAAGTAATAAATAAACTTTTTATTTTTTTAGTCAATTAAAAAACAGATCCTGGCGAATAAAATTAAAAATAATTTTATTTATTTATTTGATTTATTGTCCTTTTAGTTTCTACTAAATAAAAAAATAAAGCTGCCATTGTTCTATTTTAATCATGGTATTTTATTTTATATATTTTTTTGCTTTTCTGTTACTAATTGTTTTTTAAATGCGTTATGTAATTTAAAAAAAAAGGATTCATTCAACACAGTTTCTATACCAACCATTTTAACAGTTTAATTTATACAATTTTATAAATGGTAAATGATTAGCAGTGGTGTTAAATGATTAGCAGTGGTGGTAAATGATTAGCAGTGGTGGTAAATGATTAGCAGTGGTGGTAAATGATTAGCAGTGGTGGTAAATGATTAGAACTCATTTAAAATAATCTCTAGATTAAGTTCAATTAAAAATAAATTTAAATTGCTTACAACTTTTGATTTTATTGTTTAAAAAACAAACAAAAAAACAAGTCAGCGTGTAATAATTCAAATATTACTTCATTTTTTATATGAAATTCAGTAATATATATTACCAAATATTAAATAATTTTAAAATGGTATGACACAGAGAAAAAACCAGACAAAAACTTAAGTTTTCTATCAAAACTTTTGTTTTTTTCTGGTTTTTTTGTTAGAAAAAATTTTTTTTTAGGTTGTTTTTTTATACTTCTTTCAGTAAAATTTTGTTTCAAGCTTTTAAAATACAGGGTTTTTAATCTTTGTAAAAATATAAAATAACACACCCTAATATATGAACATTTTTAAAGAAATAAAATAACACACCCTAATATATTGACTTCTTTTTAGGACTCATTAACATTAATTGATATGCATAAAACAGGAAATTCTGTTCCTGGCAATGTAGCCTTTGAAGAATGGGGTAAACCAAATGCATCATCACAACCAACTCCGACTCCAATTGCAAAAACGCGTCAAAAAACAACAAAGTCTTCTGTTTTTGCAATGAGCAGTAAAAAGGTAATTTAGTCATTTTATTTTAATATTTTATTATTACTGGCATGGTGTTAAACAAAGAGTAAACAGAGAAAAAACATAAATAAAACAGTCCTAATGCAATCACTTAAAGGAAGTATCATGCTTTTGTCACAGTACTGGTGAACAATTTAAAATTATATTTAAAACGTAGATTACTAGTTCTGTTTATAGTTTAACTATAACAGAACTAATAGATTATAATTTTTTTTTTTTAGAAAGATGTAGTGGTTAATGAAAATGTTGCAAACGATTATTCTGATCTTCCTCCTGCACAGCGAAAAAAGAAATTTAACAAGGCAATATCAACCTTAAATGATCAGATTGAACAACTAGAAAAAGCCAGGTGAAATTAGTTTGTTAGAAGAAATTTGTTTGCCTTTTAACAGGTGAAATTTTAATTTAAATTAAAAAAAGTTGATTCTATTCGCTTCCATACAAATAATTGCATTCTATTTAAATCAATTCACTTTACAGCATTCTATTTAAATTGATTCACTCACTGTAAGTGTCTTTAGCAACAATTCTCAAATATCTTTTCTGTCAAAATATTTCTTGGGATTGATTTAATGCATTTCTTCAAATTGAACACAAAATCACTGCTGATCATGCATGGTCACATGGTCAACTTTGCAAATTCTATTTATAAAAATTGAATCATTTTCTTCCCGAACATCTATACCAAGTTTCAAGTGTATAGCATTTTTTGTTTGGTTTTGAGAGGCGTAAAGGTTATAAGTGTTTTGCGTTCTTGGCGATTTTTTGCTATCGAAAAATATGGATCAAAGGATTTGCATCAAATTTTGTGTAAAAAATAAAATGAAGTGCTCCAAAACACTTGAAATGTTGACTGTGGCATACGATGAAACTGTTCTGAGTAAAAAACTGTTCTGGATGCCCAACCACGTCAACAACTGATGAAAACGTTCAAGCAGTGAAGAAAATTGTTTTGGAAAATCATCGAATCACTATCCGAGAAGTTGCTGATGACGTTGGTATATCGCTTGGCTTGTGCCATGAAATTTTTTCTAACGTTTTGGGACGCGAGACGTGTGTCAGCGAAGTTTGTTCCGAAATTGCTCAATTTTGACCAAATGAACTGTCGCATGAGCATCGCTCAAGAACTGTTGAATGGTGTCAACGACAACCCAGATTTACGCAAAAAGTCATGCCAAGTTCGATCAAATGTCAAAGTTTTGCTCACTGTTTTTTTCAATTACCATGGCGTGGTGCATCAGGAGTTCTTACCATATGGTTCTACGGTCAATAAACAGTATTATCTTGAAGTTACGCGCCGTTTGTGAGAAGCAATACAAAGGAAACGTCCAGAATTGTGGAAAAACAGCTCATGGCTTTTGCATCACGATAATGCCCCTGCTCACTCATCTTTGCTTGTTAGAGACTTTTTGAGCATTAACAACACCACAATCATGCCTCAGCCACCATATTTACCGGATTTGGCCCCAGGTGACTTTTTCTTGTCCCCAAAACTAAAGAGACCTATGAAAGGATGAAGATTTGCAACGATTGAAGAGATAAAGACTGCATCGCTGGAAGAGCTCAAGGCTATACCGAAAAGTGCTTATGAGAAGTCCTTTTAGGATTGGAAAAACCGTTGGCATAAGTGTATTGTATCTGAGGGGGATTACTTTGAAGGGGACAAAATAAATATTGATAAATAAATATTTTTTCTTAAAAATACAAAGTCACCTTAATTTTTGAACACACCTCGTATATTTAATTTTTATTAAATTTATTTTAAATTAAATTTATTTGCTATTTGAAATTATATTTTAATTAAATTAAAAACTATATTTATGAAAGTTTTGCCATTTTACCCCAAAACTTTTTTTTGTTCTTATTTTAATAAATAGCCTATATCTATAGGCTGTTAATTAAAATATAAAAAAAAGATTTGGGGTAAAACAGAAAAAATAATGACTATTGAAAAATAAATCGGAAATAGCAAAATAATTGTGATTAGAACTTTTACAATAGATTTTTTTGTGTGCGCGACTTACTTTTTTCTTTGTAAAGTATAAAGGAAGCAAAGTTCTAAAAGTTACCTTTTTGTTCAAAAAGTGAACAAATCCCAATATTTTCTTTGTGCATTCGTGAATCCTAACACTGCTATAGTGAAATATAAAATGGTCAATTTAGAGGTTCTGTGTAAATTCTGGCAATTTCTGATGAAAGGCTTTGAAGATAAAGGCATTATATTTTTTTAGATATTTTTTTTTTTTTTTTTTTCTTACTTATTCTTTATTTATTTTTTGAAAATTAATTTAGGATTTTTAAAAATAAATGTATTAAGGTGAATAAAAATTTTTTTTTTTTTTTTTTTTAATTATTAAAAAAGTTATTTCAAGTTTTTACTTTATAAACTTTATAATCTAAATTTGTAAAAGATTTTTTAAAAAAAAGTGAAAAACTTGGCAAAAAAGAAGGGTACTCTGTTTTTGGAGCAATCTTTTTTGAGACCTTTTTGATATCATCAATATTAAGAGCATAGTCTGAAAGATGATTAAAAGCATAGCTTGGAAGATAATTAGAGGCAATGTTTTAAAGATAATTAAGGGTAGTGAAAATAAAAAATTTTATGGCTAACTACATAAATGAATTCTAACAGCTTTAACATTTTGATGTAAAATATGAAGTCCTTTATTGTCAACTTGGGAGGTGACATTTTTGTACTTTTGTACTTGATGATGTAGACATCATCAAAATATACATAAAAGAGTAAAAAAAAGTATAGTTATAAAATCGATATGAATCAAGAATAAATTTTTTTATTTCGTAAAAATGGTACAAAATGAAAATTATTGCTTTGTGTCGTGTCAAATATTTTGAACAGTTATGAGAAGACACAGGTGCCAATGTTTTTCATATAGTGACATCTTCAGTCACATAATAAACAATAAAAATACAAATTTATTTTTGCTGCCTGCATTAATCTAAACATCTATGAGTTTATAAGAAAGTTTTAAATTAATATCTTAAAATTGACTGATTTCCAGTTTCTTTGAAAGTTTCTTTCCAGTTTTGGGTCTAGCATATTTAAAAAGTTGGTCAATTTTGAGTTTAACATTTTAGTATACTCAAAAGTTAAACTCAAAAATGTTTAAAGTGCTGATCATGAAATGTATAAAAAATATGGTGAACTAGAGTACTAAAGAAATCAAAATTTTAATATTTGTCTTATTTTTGTCATACAAATGTGGATTCTGCTTGCCTGAAACCAAATCCTCGGCTGATTTAGATAACTTAAATCTTGCATATTACCCTTACTATTTTTAGTTATCCTTGATACTTAAATGTACCTTAATTTGTCCTTTTTTTTAATTTGTCATTTTTTCTTTCTAGAGCTGGTATGATTAAAATTGCTGACACCAGCAAGCAGTTCGGAGGAGACATGGCATCAATTCATGGACAAATTGAATCAAACACAAAAGAAACTGAAAAGCTTAAGAATCTGCTTCATCAATATAATGTATTTTACCAATTATTATGTTTTTTACATAATTGTATTGGCATTGGATAAAAAGTTATTATTATTATTATAATATATATATATATATATATATATATATATATATATATATATATATATATATATATATATATATATATATATATATATATATATATATATATATATATATATTAGTGATGTACCGATTAATCGGCATTGGCTAAATCGGCCGTTTTATCCTGCATTATTTTTTTGTGCATTATTATAATAATTAAATAATAAATAAACTAAACTTTGTGCATTACTTAGAATTTTTAGGATAAATTTTTATTTTGACTTTGTTTACAGGCAAAAGCTTTAAAAGTAACCTATTTAAGCATTGTTATCTATATATCTTTAATTCTTTATCACTCCCAATAAGGTTTCAAGCAACCACTATCAAGTTGGGAGTTGCTAGAAAAAAAGAGTAGAGTTATAGAGCAATGAAGTGGTTGACAGAAGATTTGAAAAGTTGAAGGTTGTATGAGTCAGGAAAACATGAAGATGGGGCAGAGTTCCAAAGGGTTAAAGTGCGTGGAAATAAGCTAGACAAACGTTTTTGGAGCATGAAGAGACAGATACAATCGAAGAATGAGACTTTAATATCAAGTCAAGCAAGAATGAGTTTTGATTGATGGAACTAAAGATGAAAGCTCTTTTGAGCAGCAACCATGATAATATTTGTAGAAAAGAGAAAGAGATGCAACTTTACGATGATGGCAAAGAGGCTCAAGCTTTGCAGATAAACCGGGTCCAACTCTGTTTACAATGCATTTTTAAACCTTATCTTGAAGAGAAAGAGCATCATTAGAAGAACCAGCCCAAATATGATAACAGTATTTCATACAGGGACGAATAAGAGATTTGTAGAGGTAGGGCATGGAATCAGGAGAGAGAAAATGGTGAGCATGATAAAAAGGTGCAACCTTAGCAGATGCTAATTTAGCAATCAATTGTATATATGGTTTCCATGAAAAGTCAGTAGTAAATGATAATCCAAGAAGACGTAAAGAAGTGGAATAAGTGAGAGGGTTGCCATTCATCAATAGAGGAAAGTCGACAGTACTGCAATAGTTATTTGTCTGACAGTAAGTTATTTGACTCGAGATGGAATGTGAAAAATTTGTTTATCAAAGACTCTAAGACCTTGCTAATAACAGAAAGAAGACTGATTGGACCATAATCGGAGGGGTCAGTAAGTTTACCAGAGTGTTTAAAAATTAGAACAACAGATGCCATTTTTTAAAATTGAAGAGAGTTCTGGAGAACAATTTTGTAAGACTGTGACAGGAATGTTGTCTGAACCACAAGCCATAGAAGAGTTTAATCAAGATATGACTATGAGTAATGGAAGCTGAAATGATTCAAATGTCTAGCATTAGGTTAACTTGTTTAATTAGAATGAAAGGAAGAGAAAGCCATAAGATTCGAAAGCCAGATTAGAAGAGAATTTTTTTGCAAATAGTTCAGCCTTATTTCATGAATTTAAGTATAGCCAAGTATCAAGTATATTTCTGAATTTATAATTTTATCGGTATCGGCCTTTTCCCATTCATCGGCATCGGCCAAAAAAGTGATATCGGTACATCACTAATATATATATATATATATATATATATATATATATATATATATATATATATATATATATATATATATATATATATATATATATGTATATATATAATATATATGTATATATATAATATATATGTATATATATATATATATATGTATATATATATATATATGTATATATATATATATATATATATATATATATATATATATATATATATATATATATAATATATAATATATATATATGTGTATATATATATATATAATATATATGTGTATATATATATATATAATATATATGTATGTATATATATATATATATATATATATATATATATATATATATATATATATATATATATATATATATATATATATATATATATATATATTCTTAAAGGCATATATAGATGTAGATGAGTTTATAATGACATATATAGATGTAGATGTATTTATAATAGTGTGGATGTATTTATAATGGCGTAGGTGTATTTATAATACATTGTTGCTGGATCTTTTTGACTCATTGCATAGGTTTTGCTTGTGTCTGTTTTTATGACTATGCAACCTATTTTATTATCTCCTAATGAGGGTACAGCTGTAAAACTCAGTTTTATGGTTCTAAGACCGGCTGTTATCAGGTTCCCTGAACTCTGTGGTGGCTCTCAGAGAGGCTGATTCCATCAACAGCTGTAAAGAACTCTTATAAAGAGTCCTAATAGTGCCATGTTGCAGATGGATGGTGTCCCTGTTTGTACCTTTTGAGTGCATTATTGAGGCCACATTTGGAGCCCTTTTTTACACCTTAGGGGTTTTTTGTTGTATTGAGTATTATCTGTGCTTTAAGTCAAGTTTTTTAAACATGTTAAATAATGACTAAAACTATAAAACACAAAAAAACATCGTCATTGCCACATCTTTCCAGACAATCTAAATCATGACAATCTCAGACAAATCATGACAATTCCAGGCATCTAAATCATGACAATTCCAGACAATCTAAATCCTTCTCTACTCAACTTATTTCTTGTTTCTGATCCTAGTCAGTGCTCAGTTTCTCCACATAAAGCCTTAGGTGCTTCTAATCACGGTTTGATCTCTCTAAAGCTATTATCTCATTCTTCTTTATCATCAGAATCCCCCTATCATTGTACCTCTTACAAATATCTTAAAGCTGGCTGGACATTTTTAAAAATGAATATATTTTTAAAGCTGTATAAGAAAAAATTTCTGTACATTTTCCAGCAACAAGCTCAACTGCCGTTTTAAGTCTTTGTCTGAAGGAATAAGTATGTAATCAAGTAGTAAATAAATTGCCCGGGAGTTCCATTCTAGATTGGCTAAATTTGGTAAACTTTTAAAATTAATCTTAGGAAATTTCTTTTCATTCCAAAAGTATTTAACTATGTTAATCAGCTGCTTCAAAAACTGCATGTCATCTTTCCATTTCAGTTCATTCTCTTTCAATTGTACATTATATTATCAAAGTTCAATGTTAAATTGTCATATTTACTGCTTATTGTTTCAACAAGATAGACAGTTCTGGTGAATTAGTATTACCTTCAAAAAATTCATCCAGACATAACTTTAATAATCGATCTGATATATGGTGTTGAAAATCAACTTTAAGAGGTTTCTGAAATCGATAAAGATTTCAAGTGGCATGATAAAGAGATTAATGAAACACATTCAAAATGTTTAATCTCTTTATCGCGCCACTTGTTTTCCCAGTGTTAAAATTCGCAAGATCATTTTTATAGATCTCCAGTAACTTCCAACTCCGTGGTTGCAGCCATGTTGGAAGTGAAGATGATTTTCACTACTTTAGTAATGAGTGTATCCAACTGTATCAGTTTTCTCTAATTACTTTAAACAAAAAATTTTATCTTCAGAATGTAATCAAAGTCCATCCTTATTCGTTGTTACGAATAAACCATCAAAACTTTAAGTACCTGGTTTTTTGATTTCAATTTGTCTCTTTTTAATCAATTTCTTTATTATTCTTGGCATTGGACTTTTATCTATTGTTGGAAAATTTAAATTAGGCCATAGTTCTAAACATTCATCTCAAATTTTCTTTATTCGTCCTTTCACACTTTTACAGTCTGATGCCAAGCTGGTGTGTAGATTAATTATTTGCCAATTTGTTAGCATTTTACATATTGTTCCTGATGATTCTTGAGATTTAGTCTTACGTAATCTTTTACTTTTCTCAAAGTAAATTGAATTTATTTTCCAAATGTCTCTTGATATTTTGATTGTAGTAGAATTTTTGTTTGACATATTGTATGGTTGTGTAATAACTGAACTTGTAATGCCTCATACAATTTATTATTTGATTAGATTAAATTACGCAATGTTAAATTTCACTAATAAACAAAACAAAAAAGTTTTCCCTCACAGAGCTTTAAGTTAAATCAAAAATCAAAATAGAGCATTAAATTTAATGCAAATTGCTGCGTAAAAGAACTTAAGATCTGTTTTCTTCTGTTTTTATAATAAATTTAGCATTGTGTAATTTATGGACAATCTTTTAGGAACTATAATTCATTTGGTGCGTGAGTTTTTTAAAAGGATGTCCTTTCAAATTATTGTCATTTTTTTCAAAATATAAAACCTCATAACTAGGTGACATGCTCATTTAAAAATCTTAAAATTATTAAAATATACATCTTTAAAAATATATACATTTTTAAAAGTGCCCAACCAACATAAAACTAAAAAAAAATGCAAACAACGCACCAAAACATATAACAATATGAACTATAAACTACAATGCTCAATGAACAATACACAAGAATACAAAAACAAAAAACAACAACAACTAAGAAAATAAATGTTCCTCAAAATTAATAAAAATTAAAAACTATTCTTTATATTTTATTTTAATTCTTTTTAATTACTTTCCATTTTCGAATATTTTTTCTTTTTCTTTTTTCATTTCTTTTTATATTGTTTTTTTTTTTTTTTTTCTTTTGTTAATTTGTTTGATTTTGTTTTTAATTTTTTGTTTTTTGCTTTTTCTTTTCTTCTCTCTTTAAAAAATTTGGTAAAACCACAAAGTGTGGTAAAACCATAAAAAAAATTTTTTTAGATAATAATTTTGCGATAAAATATCATATTTGTTTTTTAAATATCGCCTCAAATTCTTTTCATCAACAAAAAAAGTGTGAAAATTTAGTTTTTTTTTTCAACTTTTTAAAACTTCTATTTCTTACTTTAAAGAACTTTTTTTATTATTATTGTGTGTTATTTTTAAGTATTGTTGTATATATTTTTATTCTATTAAATTGTTTTTATTTTTTTTTACTACATAACAGAGATTTATTTAACTCCTTTAACTATGGTTATAGATTGATTTAAAATAAAAGTGAATAAAGTTAATGTTTTACAAAAGTTTTTTACAATATTAGATTATTATATATTGCATGGTTTTTAATAAGTTTTTTGCAAATCAGATATTTGAGTTTTTACTGCGGACAGTGTAAACAGGTTTTGGTATTTATATTTCATTGACTACCAACTAAAGTACCTATAGCACCATTATTTTTTAGAAAAATTTACTTTTACAAACTTTTCTTTTACAATAATTTAAAATTTGAATTATTATTTAAGGAAAATTTATCAAATGTTGATCAATTTTTACCAATCCTTTAATCCTTCACCACTCATACCGAGTCTTTTTTTTTTCAAATGTTTTCAAAAACTTTAAATTAATATTAAGATAAATTTAAATTGTTTTTATTTAGTGTTATTTGTCTGCAATGGATTCTTCGGATCCTAAAAATAACAGTCGCAGATCGTCAGTTGATGATTTACCTCCCCCACCTGTTGATAAACAAGCTGATCTTTCAGACCGTCAACTATCACCTGGATTTACTGGAGATTTTGACGATGAAATGAGATGTACTGTTATATACGACTTTAGTGGTATACTTTTATTTATAAGTATTAAAAAAAGTATTAACACTAATATGTGAAGTTTGATTTTCAATATATAAATTCTAATATCTTTAATGCCATTGTCTATGGTAACAATAGTAAAAATTATGGCCTATATATATTGTGCATTGTTTATGACAAACAAGTTTTGATAGCCTGGATAACAAAAATACTACATGTCACTGTGCAGTAAATCTTAAACAAATCTTGATTAATATCATTAGTAATATATAACAAATATCATTAAATGTCAATACATATCATCTGTACCATAAAATCGCCTAATTTCGGTCGCCATGTAACTTTGGTCATTTAAGAATAAATAACAAAAATGCATTTGTATTTTAATTTCTACTAATTTTTTTTCTCCAATAATATTTGTTATAACTTCGTGCTTAAAAAACATTAAAAAATTGTTTATATGAAATCTGCTGAAATAATTCGTTTGCAAATCAAAAGTTTTGAAATTATGCATACTGTTGAAATCTAAAATAAGCAAAGTATCAAATAAAGTGATCAAATTTAGCATTAGTTTTATTAGGAGTCACCAAGTTAACAATATTTGAAAATAAATTTTTTGGATTTTTAAATATTAGGTAGTCTTTTTCTTCAAAATCAATGAAATTATATACTTTGGTCACTTATGGATTATTTGCAACGCATCACTAAATTACCAATACTAGCCCCAGGAACTACACTACCACAGCCACTGCCCTCTGAATCTACACCAACATCTAGCAACAGCTCTTAAGTCACCTCAAAATTCTGCATCCTGTCTGCAAACAACCTTCAATGTTGTAATTACTCCGGCTGTTCAAAAGGTAATTCAAAAAGAGGTTGAAAAACAACTGCAATCAGCCTAAACACTTGCAGCTTTGCAACAAATGTTTAGTTATCCAACATGTTGACACAAAAAAAAAATGTAGATGTGCCATGATTCGAAGGGGCGTGTCTCAACAGACCTGAAATAATTGAAAGATGCTGAAAGCTAAAAAGCAGCAAAACGACGAAAGGTTAGCTCAAATAGCGAACAACAAATAAACCAAGCAATAAGTCCAACGAAAATATCTGCTGCAACTAATTTAATAGTAAAAAGTGTCGAAAAGTTTTAGGCGAAGCTTCAGCAAGTCAAAATATGGAATGGTACCAGTGCGAAAATTCAAATTGCAAGGTTTGGCTAAGATTCAAATTGCAAGTTTTTTTTTAATAAAGTGTTGTTTTAAATACATTATATTTGCGTATTCCCGAATGTCAGCGTAGAATGGAATAAATCTTTTTTTAATTAAATAAGGTTTCATAAAAATTTAAAAAAAAAAATTATTTGATTTTTATATATTTAAATACAGCTCAATATACTTTACAACTTTAATAAAAAAAAATTAAAAATTTTTTTTTCCGTAAAAAATAAATAATTAAAATCCTTAATTATTTCATTTGACCCCATTTTAATCTGTAAAATGACCGAACTTAATAGATGGTATTGAAAGTTCGATCTAGCTATTCTTATTTGAAAAAAAACAGAGTGCTAGTTTTTATTTTAATTATTTCATTTTTACAATATAAATTAACGATATAGTTGTCAGTATAATTCAGAAAAAAAAATGTAATAATGTCTAAATTCAGATAACTATAAGACATCTAATTGTCTTATAGTCTAAAAAATGACTACTCTTAGATGTCTTATATTTATCTGAATTTAGACATCTAAAAGGTGTGAGGATTTTAGATGCAAAAAAAAAAACGTCTTAAAGACGTGTTTGTGCCGGCTGGGTAGGCGATTTTACGTTATATCATATGAGTGGGTCAGTAGCCAAGGGGTACAAGTGACAATTTTACCAAAATTAAGTTAAGTATAGAATTTGATAGAAGAAGCAAACAAAATTGTTGGCGGCCAAGGGATACTAGTGAATCTCTGCCCTGTGCTGCTTTCTACTGGAAAAACATAACAACAGCTGAGTATATTTAACAAAAATACTTTAACTTTAAACAGCTGTATCTCAAAACTATGAAAATGTCACTTGTACCCCTTGGCTTCTGACCCACTCATATCTAAATTAATTAAGAAATAGCTTTATTAAATCTATTTTTTAGTAGTGATTACACTTGATAGTGGTTTTTAACAAAACATTTTTATTTAAAAATTTATCAACATCAATACATTTTAATTTTGTAATTCATTTTCCATCTAAATCAATAAATTTTTGTTTGCATTACAAAAAATATGTTTTGATCGACTATTTCTATTTTTTGAGCCACTCTTTATAAATGTTTTATATTATTAATTTTTTTAAGTTTTGTTAATAAAATAAATTTATTTGTTCTAAGGTAACAACGAAGGAGAATTAACAGTGTACGCCGGTGAAGAACTAATTGTTATAGAAGAGGATGATGGCAGTGGTTGGACGCGTGTAATGAGGGGACAAGAAGAAGGTTACATACCAACTTCATATGTTCAAAATATATAATTTTGCAAAATTCTAAAAGCCACCGGATAATGGGTTTTAAAAGTGTATATTTTCAACATGTATATTATATATTGGAGTGTTTAGTGAAGCTTTTCGTGTAATCAGAATTGCATTTATCAAATTACTGTGAGAGTATGTTGCACATTTTTTTTACCAAATTCAAGCCATCTATGGTAAACGCATTAATTCTTTATATAGATATTTTGTTTATTTTTTAGTTTTTTAAAAAAAAAATATTTACTTTTAATACTTTTTATGCACTTACTAATATTTTTGACAGCTATGAAATTACGGTCATCATTTTTTGATTTCCTTTATTTTTTAATAACTTATATTTAGTAGCATATACGCTGACTTAAAATATATTTTATCGGTTCCTTAAAATCAATATATTTTTTCATTTGTGAAACACGCACAGATAAATACACTAATAAAATGTTTATAAAAGACTAATTCTGCCCTCCTTTTCTATTAGGGAAGTGGGAGTTTTTGTCACATCTCAGTATATATGTAAAGTCGCCTTAGAATAAGTGTCGTTGTAAAATACTTTTAAGCAAAGTGAATATATCGTTTAATTGATTTGTCTAACAAAAGTTTAAAAAATTGTATAAGGTTAAACAGTTATTACCTTTGATTAATTTGCTTTGTTTAGATTCACATAAAAGTAATTTGTTTCTTAAAGTATCTTATTTTTTATAAGCTGCACTATTTGCAAAAGTATGCTAAACCACTAATATTCTCAAGCGACGATATAAGTTTGTGCGTGTAGGCTTATGTATATTTTATGTACAGGTGAACAATCTATGCTTTTTATTTATGCTAGCGCCAATTAAAAATATTGAAATGAGCTGCGCCTTTAGGATGTAATATTTTTTTATTGATTTTATTTTTATAAAAGCTTAGTTTTGTTTTTCATGAATTGCGAGAAAAGATATTAACACTAAATCCTTTGTTTACTAGTTTATTTTTGTAATAAATGATACAACGGAAGAAAAAAAGTAATAGTGTACCCAGAGTTGTTAACAAGGCCAAGGCCACATGCTCCAAGGCAAAGGCCACATTTTTAAAGGCCAAGGCCTCATGTTCCAAGGACAAGGCCACAAGTTCCAAGGACAAGAATTTCAAAGCCAAGGACACATCAAGTATTTCACGGGGTAAGACTTAAATTTCGTGCTGCAAATAACAAATCCGCATGTTTCAAAATTAAATCAAGGTTATGCGTTTATAATGTCAATAAGAAAATGTATTAGAAAATTTTTGTATCCAAATTTGATGATTGATGGTAAACCTTTATCCATTACTTAAATCTTTTTTAACGCATAGAAGAAGAATTATTAAAATCATTACACTATTTTAAGTAAATACAAGCTATAATGATTAAAATTTCATTTCTCAAGTACCTTAAGATATACTTGGTACCTTAAATTATTCTTCTGATCAAATTAAAACTACTCTTGGTTTAAATTAATCTTACTTTTGTAATAATAGCGTATTTAAAAATTAACTCTGGAACAATTTAAAGTTATCAGGGCCGACGGGGGGATTTTTTTTTTTTTAAGAAATAATTTTTTAAAGAAATTTTTTTCAAGATATAGGGGACTTTTTCCAGAAATTGATAATTGTGCGCCCTCGCATCCCTCCACTGCAAAACCCGTGTCGTCGGCCCTGGTTACAACGTTTCAGAACGATTAATAACATTGGTATTCTTTATATACTTCTTTTTATAGAACTTTCATACTTTTTAAATAAAAACTTTTCTTTGAATGAATATTTTATTATGAATGAAAATTTTAAAATCGTTCGAATTTTTTTCCATAAACAAATTTTTCAAACATTCTATTGTCTTCAAAATGTCACAAGGAGTTTTCATTGATTTTTTTTTAACTAACTAACAGTAAGTAACCAAATAATATTATATAACGTTAAACGTTAATGAATTAAAGCATGTAATTAAATTCAAAAAATGAACTTGCTAAAATAAACAGAAAATTAGCAAAAAAAATTCAAGGCCAAAATCCAAGGCCTTAAGGCAAGGCCAAGGACTAACAACTCTGAGTGTACCGTTGCGGTTCTAAAAATAGATTTGATAAACTTTTCGCAAAGTATTCTGGGATTGAAATGCGGACAAACAAAACAAAATGCAAAGAAACTCAATACCAATTCTGAAGAAAATGCTTATAAAAGTGCAATAAAACATGTTATAAGGATTTATTCTCATTAGATTCTTGCTACCTTAAACATTTACCAGCTGGTGTAACAGAATGCAGGATTGTTGATTTTAATACTGGAAATAGCCATGATTTTATTTTTAATTTTTTGTATCATTTAGTCATTTATTATATGAACATGAAAAATATATTTTTCCCCTTTAATGAATTTCAATTTTCTACTTTTACGACTTTTTTGGACCAATAAATTATTAACTTTCACATTTCAGCTCAAGGAGTGTGAAACCCAGGGTGTGAGGGTTGAAAATCTTAATAGTTATCTGTGAAAAAGCATGTAACAAATTTTATATCAGTATTTTATTTCAGAAGTGTGTAATTATGGAGTTTATTAGTTTTCAAGATAGTTTTCTTGTCTATAAAAAGACTTGCTTTTACAGAAACAAGCAACTCTTTATATTGCACTATTTATAAGTGTGAGAAAAGTTTTCAGAAGAATAGGCCATTTAATCAAAAAGAATTGTAAAAAGCACTAGTTTATTTTAAACAATTCAATAAAAATATTTATTTAGATTCAAGTTAAAATAAACAATTTAAAATTGCAAAAATCAACCGATATTCAAAGGAGGAGACTTAATAAATATCAATAAATATCGCCCTATCTCTGTTCTTCCAGTCTTTTCTAAAGTCTTGGAAAGAATTATTTATAACAAAATTTACACTCATTTAACTAACAACAATTTATTATTTAACCACCAGTATGGATTCAAAAAAAAAACAACTCTACAGAACACGCGATTCTCCAGCTAACACGTAGTACCACAGAATCTTTCGAGAAATCCGAATATACTTTAGGCATCTTCATCGACCTATCAAAAGCCTTTGATACAATAGATCATAAAATTCTTTTTAAAAAACTCAAAAATTACGGAATAACTGGAAATGTTTTAAAGTGGATAAAAAGTTATTTAAGTAATCGCAAACAATTTGTAACCATTGACGCTTCTTTTCCAATAAGTTTGTTAGAAATTACTTGTGGTGTTCCTCAAGGATCTATTCTCGGACCTCTTCTTTTTCTTATATATATCAACAATCTCTATAAAGTATCCAGAATAAAAACAATCATGTTTGCAGACGATACAAACTTATTCTTATCTCATACTAACATCACTACTCTGTTTCAACTTATGAATATAGAATTAAACAAGATTTCTTACTGGTTTAAATTAAATAAATTATCGCTTAATATTCAAAAAACAAACTGGACTCTCTTTCACCCACCCTCTAAGAAAAAACTACTGCCTTATGAAATGCCATCCCTTATTATTGATAACATCGAAATAATTAGAGTAAACGTTACAAAATTCTTAGGTGTTTATATTGATGATAATCTTTAGTGGAAAAATCATATTGAAAATTTATATAACAAAACTTCAAAAAGTTTAGGAATTTTATATAAAGCAAGAAACTTTTTAAATAAAAAAATTTTAACTCAATTATATTTCTCTTTTATTCATAGCCATATAAGTTATGCAAACATTGCATGGGCTTGCACCAATAAAAGCAAACTTGAACCTCTTTATCGTCATCAGAAGCATGCAGCACGTTTGATACATTTTAGTGAACGTCTTACTCATGCAAAGCCTCTATTAAAAAAAATGAACGCCTTAAATGTATATCAACTCAAAGTTTATAATACTCTTTGTTTTATGTTCAAATGTAAAACTAATTCTTCACCAGTTTCTTTCCATGATTTGTATATGTCAAAAGATAAAAATAAATACTTTTTACGCAATAACAATTTTATTAAGCAGCCATTTTTTTAAACTAACTTGAGCAAATTCTGCATTACTTCTCGCGGACCATTCTTATGGAACAAAATTGTCTTAAAAAACTTTTCTCAAGATTTTGTCCAACAATGTAACTACAACTCTTTTAAACGAAAGTTAAAAGAATTAATTTTTACAATTGACGATCTTTTTTTTTTATTTATTTACACTTTTGCCGATAAAAAAAAATTTACAGTCGTAACTTATAAAAAAAAATAATTACATGACCGGGGCTAGAAGAAGACAAATTTAGTCCTATCATTAAGCCCCAAAACTATCAATTTACTTTTAATAATTTATAATAGTTTTTCCATTTTACCTCCACTTATCAAAGAACTATTATAATTTTATAATTTATATATTTACCAAGAATATGTATCAATATATGCGACAATTTATATGTTTATTAACTTATATAGTATTTATATAACTGATTTTTATATTTATAACGGGTTTTCTGAATATTTTTAATTTGTTTGTATCACGTTCATTTTAGCGGTTCTCCACGACAAGACCTTACGGTCTTCTACGAGACCCCGCGTTCTTTTATTTCTTATTTACGATTTTTTTTTTGTTATTTTCTTGTAACTTCTATATTTTATTTTTTAATTTGTATATTTATAACGGAATGTTGTTTAAAATGTAATAAAGAACAACAACAACAACAACAAACAAAAAAACAAACAAAAAAAACAATTCGATCCAAAGTTCAGATTATTTGATGGAGTAATGCTTTATTTATTGCAGGGACTATCTTTTTCTGGATATTTCTCTCAACTTTTAGTTTTTACGGATATCCAAAACGTTTTTCCTACATACAAATTTAGGTGTATATTATTGTATATTATTTAAATATATTTGTTTTTTATGTTTTTTTACTCATCACTCATACAAAAATTATAAAAAGTTTCGAAAAAAATTTTGAAACAACTCAGCTAAATTCAAAATTAAGAGAAAATTTTCCGGATATTACACCCAGACAAGCTTCCGCGTTTTTTAAATAAGACCCGGATTATCTATTTTTTTGCCACTAGCATATTAATTAGTTTATGTTAAAAAGTTTACTTCATATCTGGTAAACTTTTAACAATACTTATGTGCTTGAATATCTTTATAAAATTTAAATTTTGTTTTTTACAAACTTAACTATTTATCTATTTTTTCACTAATTGCAATTTTACACTTTTTTTTTCTGTGTATATAAAAATTGCTTTGTGTAATCCTTATACAAGTACTAATATATATTTAAAAAAGTAAATTTTAAAAGATTAAAAACCATTTTAAACATATTTTTCAAAGTTGGAATTTAAGCTTTCTTAAAAATTATGGATTAAATTCATTCCTTAATTAAATTTCACCTATTACCAAAGAAAATTTATAAATCTACTCTACTGATAAAAATAAAAACTTGGAGTATTCAGACATTAAAATTTCAAATTTTATACTAAATAATCAAAATGAAAACTTTCATCATGATCAGCTCTTAAAAATTAAAACACTAAACAAGAATTTAAAAAGTTGTTCAGGGCCGACGAAACCGGGGGTGGGCCAGGGTGTAAAATGTATAACAACAACAACACAATAACACGTTTGCAGAAGGTCGCATAGGGCAGGATCGAAAAACCTTTGTAAACTAATTTGAAATTAAAAAAAAAATTAAAAAGGTTCAGATGTGGCCAATAATATTTTATATGCCAACTATAAATATCTATTTAGTTTCAGATAAAAAATTCTATATAGAATATTAAATTTTTTGTTATAACCATTGAAACTTATATCACGAAAGGAACCTTCCTTCCGTAACACAAGTTTTGAATGCCTGTTTAAAAAGTTTAGAGTTCTACTAACAATGTTTTTACTATAAATTAAATAAATATTTATAGGTAGTATTTTTTGGTATTATTGTCCCCATCTAAACGTGTTTAGCTTTTTTTTGAATTTTTAATTTAGT